CTGTGACTTACTATATAAAAGGGTACAAGTGGTAAATCACTTATGAAATCATACACACTTACATATGTTAAAATACATACATACTCAGCTGGACGTGGTGGCACATGCCTTTAATCCCAGCAATTGGGAGGCAGAGGCAAGCAGATCTCTGAGTTTGAGGCCAGTGTGGTCTACAGAGCGAGTTCCAGGCCAGCCAGGGATGCATAGAGAGACCCGGTCTCAAAAAAACCAAACCACGCCGGGCGGTGGTGGCGCACGCCTTTAATCCCAGCACTCGGGAGGCAGAGGCAGGCGGATCTCTGTGAGTTCGAGGCCAGCCTGTTCTACAGAGCGAAATCCAGGAAAGGCGCAAAGCTACACAGAGAAACCCTGTCTCGAAAAACCAAAAAAAAAAAAAAAAACCAAACCACAAACAAATAGAACATACTTATCGTGAACTCCATAGAGGTATTTTTACTTTTGAGATAGGGTCTTGCTATGTAGCCCTGGCTAACTTTGGATTCAAGCAGTTCTCCTGCCTCAGCCTTTTGAGTACTACAGTTGGACCACCATCCCCAGCTTTCCATATAGCAAACAGTCCCGGATAAGATCCTTTCTGTCTGCTTTGGGACAGGTTCTCTCTGCTGAACCTTAGTTGGTCCGAGATTCACTATGTGTAGCCCAGGCTGGCCTTGAATTTACTCTGATCCTCCAACCTCGTGTCCCCAGATCTAGGATTGTATGCGTGCACCACACTGTCTGGTTTTGATGTTCACAAGATACTTTCACTGATTTTTTTTTTTCCTCTTTGTTTTGGAGACAGAGTGTTGCTATGTAGCCTTGGCTGGCCTCCAACTCTGTGGCTCCTCCTGCTTCTGCCTCCTGAGTGCTGGGATTGAAGGTGTGTGCCACCACACCCAGCCTTTTGCTGAGTTTCTTGGCTTTTCTCCCCATCCCACCCACCCCAGGCTGGCTCTAGAGCCCCTCGTCACAAACAGCTTTACATCCTCCTCTTTTCTCCTCATCTACCCCCTCTTTCATTGGTGGTTTATTCTTATTTTGAGGTCAGGTCTTATGTAGCCCAGGCTAGCCTCCTGCCTCCCCCTCCCAAGTGCTGGGATTACAGACACGTGCCTCTTCCCACCTTGCTCTTCTGTGTGCGTTTTTAAATCTGTGCTAACAGTTCAGCCACGATGGGATGAATGGAGTTATTTCCCAATCCAAGCTCTTTCCCCATCCATTTGGTGTCTTTAACTCTGAGATGTGATCTCTGAAACAGTGCCTCACTTTTATGCAAATTAATTCATTAAAGAGAAACTTCTGCCCACACGTGACAGAATTCCGCTCCCTCAGCAGCATGTAGGGCTTTGCTGAATCAGATAACAGCTTTTGATTACTAGAAGTCTGTTGAGAGCTGCGACAGTTGGGGAGCCCAGGAAAAAAAAAACTGGGTCACTGAGTCGCTTTTGAATGCACAGGCCCGGGTGACCAGAGGATGAGGAACTGCTGGCTGAGGTGGAGAGCCACAGAGGAGAGAGAGGGGCTGCATGATGAGTTCTTGCTCTCTATGAGGCTGTCAGCCATCCAGGTGGACTTCCTGTATGTCTGATGCTCAGATCAAAGCTGTGGGCTGGAGAGATAGGGTTGGGGGAGAGCTTTGAACACAGAAATGGCAGCAAAAGGAGAGGTGTCTGTAAGAAGGATGGCCAGGACAGGAGGAGCCCTGGCGTTTAGGTGACAGCAGTGAGGGCCACTGGGAGAGAGCGGTGTATACAGCAGGTGCTTAGAAAAGACGCACAAGGGCTGGAGAGATGGCTCAGCGGTTAAGAGCACTGGCTGCTCTTCCAGAGGTCCTGAGTTCAATTCCCAGCAACCACATGGTGGCTCACGAACATCTGTAATGACATCTGGCGCCCTCTTCTGACCTGCAGGCAGACATGCAGACAGAACACTAGACATAATAAATCTGAAAAGACGCACAAAGCCAACACTCAGTTGTCTGAGCAGAGGCAAGAGTCTCAAGGCTGAGCTGCTGCATGCCTCAGGCCCTTGATCAATAACTGTGAGTGAATATTCTGGGGACAAAGGCCCCCCGAAAGAAGAGCAAGTACCAAAGGGGCTGCATTTGACATGATTCTGGGGCTCCAGATAGAGGCAGATGTCTGAGACTTTTTCTCTGGCACCAAAGTGCCTTCCACACCAACCTCCTCTACATTTCAGCCCAGCCCCCTGCACAGAAGGGCTTGTTCTTGGCTCCTGTGCACCCACCCCACCTTACCACCTACAGCCACGGTCTGTTTTCTTTCTAGGTGAATTAGTTATGCTGATAGGATGAAATGCAAGAGATAAACAACCCTAGAAAGGAAGGGCTTGCTTTCCACTCACAGTCTGGAGGTGGGGAAGGCAAGGCAGTGGGAATACGTGAGGCTCCTGGTCACATGTTGTCTGCAGTCAGGAAGCAGAGAGATGGATGCTGGTGCTCAGCTCACATTTTCCTTTTTACTGGTTCCACGTCCTTGGAGATGATGCCACATGCATTCCGGGTGGGTCTTCTCTCCTCAGTTGAAGGTCTGTAGAAACATCTTCACAGACACACCCAGAGACTCCAAGTCCAGTCAGGTTAACAGCAACTATTAACTATGATGGGGCTGGGAAGCTGGCCCAGAGAGTAAGACTCTTGAAGAGTGTGGGTTGAATCCCCAGCACCCACACATTTGGTACTCTAACACTGTGGAGGTGCGATGGAAGGATCCTCAGAGCAAGCTCCAGGTTCAGTGAGAGACTCTGTCTCAATAGGTGGAGAGTAATAAAGGAAGACACCTAGCATATACGTTTGGCCTCCAGATGTGTGTGCAAGTGTGAGTGCACACGCACACTCACACATGCGTGTGCACACACACACACACTCTCTCCCTCACATACACACCCATGCGCACACACACACTCTTCATATGCACACACACACACACACACAGGCACACACACGTAAATGAACCATCACACCAAAGACTGTTCGACTTTTCAGATGTTCAAGGGAGAGTCTGATAAGTTCTTGTTGAGTCAAAGTCTGCCCTGTGGCCATAAATGTCATTGTCCAAGAAAACGAGGAACAAATGACAGGAGGAGCCTCCTGAGGACTTTTGGGGTGTCAGGTGTGCTGGGGTACAGCAAAGGACAGACCTGAAGATTTAGAAGTGTCCCCCCCCTTAACAAGGAGAGAGAATTGTTGACCCTGGAGGGCTGCATAAGGGCTGTAAGGGGCGTGTGGGCCAGCACAGTGGCCGGCAGCCAGTAGCCCTCACCAGTCACAGCCAGCGCTCTCCCCGGTCTCCAGCTAAGCAAGTCTTTACCCACTTGAGTCCAGGCTCCTTGTGGTGATAAATAAAAAAGGCGAAGTGGGTACCTGTCAGAGGGCCTTGCCAAGGTATGCCACTAAGTAAACACACCACGCCCCACAGAGTTAGTGCAGGAGGTTTGTTGGGGGAGGGGAGGGGGAGAGGGAAAGAGGGAAAGCCCGTGTCAGAGTGGGGACATGAGAGAGGCAGGCAGGCAGACAGACAGACAGACAAAAAAAAAAGGAAAGAAGAGGCAAGAGACAAGAGAGCGAGCTGTGCTCTGGCGGGCACTTTTCAGGGGTACGCATGTCGTATAGCTGGCTGATGGTGGAAAGGCACCTGGCGCCAGGTGATGACGTAACTGCTTTGGCGGCAGAGGCAGGCTGCTGCCACAGCAGAAACTAACACTCCTCATCTGTGAAACAACACCGAGCAAAGCCAACAAGATAATCTTCACTCTGCTTTGCAAATCAGATGACAGGGATGAGGCAGCCTCCTGAGTGTCCAGGACAGGGCAGGTGGCAGTGTGTGGCTTGCTTGGGCTCTGGCCTACCTCACCCCTGGACTGCCAAGCCCGGGTAGTCACCACCTGGGCACCCCTGCAAAGGAGGCTCTGGCCTATTATGGGATGAGTCTTGAGGAGAGAGGCACTTGGGACTCCTATGGGAGAAACCTCTGCTGTCTCCCCAGATGATCGGGGTCAGGTTCCCCCACCCAACTCACGGGAAGTCCCTTGTCTCCCTGCTCCCCTCCTCTCAGCCTCCTGGGTCTGGGCCTCACTACTCCATCCTCTCCAGGGTCAGAGTGAGCAGACTTACTCCACAGTGAAGACAGGGGCACCGGCTGTCACCGTCACCAACCTGAAGCCTGCTACCAGATACGTTTTTCAGATCCGGGCAGCCTCCCCAGGGCCATTATGGGAGGCCCAGAGCTTCAACCCCAGTATCGAAGTGCAGACCCCAGGGGAAGGTAAGTGGTGTGCACGTGGAGGGCGCTGGATGCAGGCAGGCGGTAGGGACAAGTGTATCGGGAAGGGAGCCGCAGAAGAGCCGCTTTGCATCTACTTAGTTGAGAAACAACTTGAGATCCACCTGCAGTAATCCACTGGGCATCTTACCCGGAGCACACTGCAGAGGCCTCGGGGACAGCTGGTGCTCCCCTTCTTGGAGGATGCATCTTCAGTGACCCAGCCTCTTTCCTAGGCTTCTCAAGGCCACCTCTTTCTGGGCCTTGCTGGATCCTTCCTGCTGCTCTTCTCTCTGCCATGACAAAGATCCACCTTGGGGCACCGTCCCTTACTCCCACCAGGCTTAGCCTGTGAAGCCAACTTCCCTGAAGGGGAGGGGACCTGGAAGGGATCCAAGTGAGCCCTGCACATTTTAAATGGAGGGAATAAATGCTGGGCTTGGCGACACAGGCCAGCAATCTGGGCACTTGGAAGGCTTGAGATAGGAAGATCAAAAGGTGTTCGAGGCCAAGAGCCTCTACACAGAGTTCAAGGTCGACCTGGGTGGCATAAACAAATAGCTGAGCTGGTGGTGCAAACGTATAATCCCAGCACTTGGGAGGGAACGGAAACCAAGAGTTTGGGGCTAGCCTGGGCTATATGAAATCCTGGCTCAAGGAACAAGAAAGAAGGAAGGGAGGGAGAGGAAGGAAGTGGGAGAGAAGTGAGTGGTGTGTAAATGACATCTCAAAGTTCTAACAACAGAAGAAAAGCTGAACTTTTTCCTGATCTTGAAATGCCCCCCCCCCCCCCCCCCCCCCCCCCCCCCGGCTTCCTGGTGTCCCCCTCTCTCCCCGGCCTTCCCTCCCCTCCCCACTCCCTGTCAGTGTGAGGGACGGCAGCTCCCCCTCACTGCTCAGCCTGCTGCAAACCCAGCCCTGAGGATCTCACCTCTATCTACCCTGCTGCAGTTCAGGGAAGTGTTTTCCCCAACAAAGGCAGCTCCCCTAAGAGGCATTCTGGCACCAGCTGTCAAGATAAGAATTCTTCCCAACCTGCTACACGGCTCTAATCCAAGATAGGAAGTGCTGGGAGCCCAAAGGGAGGTGAAGATAACATTCGGAGGGAGCCCGGTTCCGGGAAGGTAGACAGCACACGCCTTGCTGGAATGTCTGTGCTTGGCCTCGGGGCAGGTGCTGGCGAGGTGAGATTAGAGCTGTGTCTTAAGGCTGGGGTCTGTTTGAACCAGTGGAAGTGAGTAGGGGAGGTATTTGCATGGAGGAAGCCATCTGAGCCAAAGCCCCCATCACGCCCTGTATCCCTGACCACGTTGCCCGGGTCCCCGGGCTTGAACCGTTCTCCTCCTCCTTCTTCCGCATCCTGAAGCTGCTACAGACAGCCATCTTTCTACTCCGTTAGTGTCCAGGACTTCCCCTCCCTAACAGTTATTCTGAACCTTTCCTTTCTCAAGTACCTCTTCTACATCCCCACTGCCAGCTCCGGCCGGCCAGCTGCCTCTGTCCTTTCCTCTCCAGCCAGGCAGAAATCTGTCGGCTACTCCCAGTGAGCCTCAGGGTAATTCTCCTTAGCCTGCACCCAAGGGTCTCTAGTTGTGCCTCTCCAAGTTCCCCATCCCTGACTCAGCTTCCACCCCATTATCCTCTGCCTCTGGACAGCATAGCTTCCAGTTTTGTGGGGGTGCTTCCATTTCCCAGGCCCCCATCAGGGCCTGGGATACAGCCTGAATCTTTCAGACATCAAGAAGGAAGCAGCGCTTGCTGGGCATTGGTGGCGCACGCCTTTAATCCCAGTACTCGGGAGGCAGAGCCAGGCGGATCGTTGTGAGTTCGAGGCCAGCCTGGTCTACAGAGCGAGATCCAGGAAAGGCACCAAAACTACGCAGAGAAACCCTGTCTCAAAAAAAAAAAAAAAAAGAAGGAAGCGCTGGCCTCTGCTCTGCTCACTTCTCTCTCTCTCTCTCTCTCTCTCTCTCTCTCTCTCTCTCTCTCTCTCTCTTTCTCTCTCTCTCTCTCAGTATTGTTTACTAACTTACTTAGTTTCAGAGCTGCTTTGGCGTCAGGCAGAGGGTTTGGGGGACAGTTCTAATCCTGGGTTCACCTGGGTATGGTGGCACGTGACTATAATCCCAGCACTTGGGAGGTGGAGACCGAAGGGTCAGGAGTTGAAAGGTAAAGTCATCTTTGGCTACGTGAGTTGGAGGCCAGCCAAGGCTACGTGATACCCCATTTCGAAAACAAAACAAAGCCCCACAAAATCCTATCTTTTTCACTTGGGAGCTAGCTATGTGACTTTGAACGACTTGGATGACTTTCCTCAACCTATCCCCTCCACTTGACCTGGAGAGTAACCCTGGCGGGACGGTTGTGTGAGACGGGGCAATAGAGTTCAGGCACGAGCAGCCTGTCTTAGACACGGGTGTGCGGTTAACAGAGTGCTGCTGGCAGACACTCTGTGTTGGGAAAGGAACGCTCAGCAGAGGCTGTGACCCCCAGAGAGCTTCTGGAAGTCTTTTGCCCCAGCTGCCTGGACTCTTGCCTCCTCTCAGAGCTGGGCTGCAGTAGAGAGGTGATGTCTGCAAACAGAGGTGTTTGGCCTTCCAGTTGCCACCGTGGGCATTGGTGCCGCTGTGTGCCGAGGGGCTGAGGGATCTTCCTAGTGACAAAAGTCTCTCTTGGTGCTTGCTCCGGAGCCTAGTCCTCTGCCTGCCTCAGCCCCCTGTTTTGTTTTTCCCTAGTTGCCTCAGGGTCCAGAGACCAGAGCCCCGCAGTAGTTGTTACTGTTGTGACCATCTCGGCCCTCCTGGTCCTGGGCTCTGTGATGAGTGTGCTGGCCATCTGGAGGAGGTAGGTAGATGGTTTCATCCTGGTGACCTCTGGTGGGTTCCGTCCCCATGTGTATAAAATATGTACACACAAGTACCTATAAGTGCACCACACACACACACACACACACACACACACACAGAGGCAAGTTTACAGACTCAAGCACACTGCTACATAGATCCCAGTGCTGCCAGGGAACGCAAGCGCCCGCAACCCCAGCACTTAGGAGGAGGATCAGAAGGGTCAGAGGTTCAACTACTTCAGCAGCTACATAGAGAATTTGAGGCCAGCCTGGGCTACATGAGACCTTTGTCTTGCTTCCCTGTTCCTTCAAAAAAGATACAAGTGTGGCCGGTGGGGCCCCTCCCCCACATGCTGCTCATGCACCAGCTGCAGGCTCTGCAGCTAGCTCAGCCGTGCGGGGATGAAGGGGATTTAGCTCCTTAATTCATTAAATGTCAGAAGGCATCACTGAGGACGGAATCAAGTCCCAGCTGCTCCGGTGTGATTAGGATTCTCCCGAGGCGCTCGGAGGGCCCCAGCTCTGGCCCCCAAGGGATCTGGAGCCCCTTGAACACAAGCAAAGAGAAAGTCAGTATGTGGGTGGGAGAGAGGGGGACAGGGAGGGAAACTCATCAGTCTGAGCCATGTCCCTCCCCGCAAAGAAGCTTGCAGGCAGAGAAAGCATGGGGGAGACAGATCTGGAGCCTGGTCGGGCCTGGCTGAAAGAAAATTCCATTTCCTTTGGACAAAGCAGAGGCTCCAGCCATGTGTATTCCCCGCCCTTCCCAGGACCACCCTGCTATGCCCAGAGGCCCCTGGCAGCCGCAGTCTGGGGCTGTGGTAGGCAGAGCTAGTGGGTTGGAGTTGGGTGCAGGGGAAAAGTGGGCTGGCTGGGGAGCCACTTCTCAATAGTCTGAGCCACCTGTGAGCCAGAGGGACAGTGGGTGTTTCTTTGACACTGGCTATTTGTATTTTTTTTTTTGATATCCTGTCTCAAAAAAAAAAAAAAAAAAAAAAAAAGGAGTGGCAGGACAAGTTTAGGGGGCTCCTTCCTCATGGAGCTTAGCTTTAGGGCCATGCTCTGGGCCTGTTGGAAAAGCAGGGATGGGCAGCCGCAGGGGACCTCTCATCCCAGCTTTAACTATGGGGCTGGGGAGGCAGGCACAGAAACAGGCGCACTGGGCCAGGCCGGGGAGACAGCTGCAGACTCCACGTCAGACTGTCCTTCCGCGAGGAGAGCCAGGGAGCAGATTACCGCACTAAGTAATTTAATTACAAGGTTTCCTTTTTAAAGTCTTAGTTTTATTTGTGTGTATTGTGAGAGTGACGGCATGCGCGGGCGTGTGTGTGCGTGTGTGTGCGTGTGCGTGCGCGTGTGTGTGTGTGTGTGTGTGTGTGTGTGTGTGTGCGCACGCATGTGCCCTGGGAGATCAGAAGAGGACATCAGATCCTTTGGAGCTACAGGCGGTGTGAGCCACCTAATGTGGGTCCTGGAACTGAACACTGGTCCTCTGGAAGAGGACTGAGCCGTCTCCCCGGCCCTCACTCTAACATTTTCATATAGACTTTGTTTCATAGTTGAAACGATTACTTATATTGTAAGTAATCTATTATTAAATAAAACTTGGGAGTCAGATTTGGGCTAAACCCTGATAGAGCCGAAGACAATGGAGGAACAATCAGCTGACCCTGCCTCTCTGCACTTCCAAATCGAAAAGACCTTACATCTTTTTTTTTTTTTTTTTTTTTTTTTTTTTTTGGTTTTTCGAGACAGGGTTTCTCTGTGTAGCTTTGCGCCTTTCCTGGGACTCACTTGGTAGCCCAGGCTGGCCTCGAACTCACAGAGATCCACCTGGCTCTGCCTCCCGAGTGCTGGGATTAAAGGCGTGCGCCACCACCGCCCGGCGACCTTACATCTTTTTAAGCCCCTCCCTGCTACTTCCTGTGCCCCCCTAGCTGGGTCATCCAAAACCTCTATGGCTAATTCTGGTCAGCCAAGCATTGACTCTGCTCTCTGCTTGAAGGTTTAACTTTATTGGCATTCTCGGAGTGTCTGTGTGAACACATAGTTTGCTTTATTTTTGGTTCCCCTGTCGCTCTTACATCCACTCAGCCTTCCCTCATCTCTGCTCCTCTCTCTGGATGTTCCCTGTCATAGATGAGTCCCATCAGTCATCACTCTAGGTGACCTCAGCAGCCACTGGGTGGCCAGCCTGGCCTCTTGATTTCTTAAGGTTTTCTTCCCAAGCCCCTCTCTTGTGTCTCTCATAGCCCTCCAGCCATTCCCTTTGGGAATGCTCTACCATCAGGTACATAACACCTTTCTACTTGGGCCTGACAAGGCCCTGTCCTTGTCACTTACTCTGGCCATGTCTGTGGCCCTACTCTCTAGCATCATCACTGGCCCCTCAATGTTTCCCGATGAAGGCTAGAAACCCCGCCTGCCTCATAAGCATTCTCATTTCTTAGCTGTACAGAAGGAGCCTTCCTTTCAGGCAGGATGAGCCCTTCTACCCAGAATAGAGCCCCTCTTACTGCTTCAGGAACACATTACTACTCATAATGCCCTTCTCTTCCCCCCATACAAGAGTACTGTGCCTTAGTTATCTTTCTACTGCTGTGTTAAGACGTCATGATCAAAAGGTCTTCGTCACTGTTCTACTGCTGTGAAGGGACACCATGACCACAGCAACTCTTTCAAACCACCACACAAGGCAGCTTAGAAGAAAGAGTCCATGACCATCATGGTGAGGAGCATGGCAGCAGGCAGGCATGCCATGGAGCAGAAGCTGGAGCTTACACCTGATTCACAAACACAAGACAGAGAGAGAGGAGGAGAGACAGAGAGAGAGGGGAGCTAAGTGGTGATGGCATGAGCTTTTGAAATCTCAACCACCACCCTCAGTGATACACCTCCTCCAATGAGGCCACACCTATTCTAACAAGACCACACCTCCTTGATCCTTCCCAAACAGTTCCACCAACTGGGGACAAAGCACTCAAATAGATGAGCCTATGGGGGTCATTCTCATCCAAACTACAACACTCTGAGGCTTAGTAAGGGTGTTAGCCATCTGTTGCTGTGACAAGATGTGCAAGACAGTCAACTTATAAGAAAGAAAAGTTTTGTCTTGTTTTGGTTTGGGTTTTGTTTTTTTTGAGACGGGGTTTCTTTGTGTAGTTTTGGTGCCTGTCCTGGATCTCGCTCTGTAGACCAGGCTGGCCTCGAACTCATAGAGATCTGCCTGGCTCTGCCTCCCGAGTGCTGGGATTAAAGGCGTGTGGCATCACCGCCTGACAAGAAAGAAAAGTTTTGGGGGGCTCCCAATTTCAAAAGTTTGGTTCGTGGCCACTTGGCCTTGATCCTGTGGGTGGCAAGTCATCTTGGTGCGAACTTGTAGCAGAGGCAGCTGCTCACTTCATTGGCAGCCAGGAAACAGCAAATCAGGAAGGGACTGGAGTCATAATAGTCTCCTAAAGGCATGCCACCAGTGACCCAACTTCCTTCTCCAAGACCACATCTCTCAAAGGTTCCGTCACCTCCTTTTATCACCCCAGGCTGTGGACCAAGTCTTTGAGAGACAGCTCAGATCCACACTATAAGTCAGACGTGGTGGCACACACCTTTGAGGTCACCCTGGTCTACATAGAGAGATGCAAGGCTGCCAGGATTACATAGTGAAACCCTGTCTCAAAACAACAAAACAAAAACCAGAAATAAAACACCCCCACTATAACAGTAAGCTCTCTATTACCATGATGCTGTTAGGCAGGGCTGTCTTTATCCTGATTTTATTACAGAGAAAAACCGAGCCATCCAATCCCACAGCCACGGCGTGGGGATGCTTGGCTGCAAGAGCACATAGTCAGATTGCAAAGGGCATGTCTCAGAGGTCTTTCGTGCCACTGTCTCCTGTGACACACCTCTCTTTTGCAAACTCTTCCCCAGCCTTTCTTCCTGTCTTCACAAAATCCCGTCTCCTTCCCTGCTTTCTCCTTCCTTCCTTCCTTCCTGTGCCATCTCCTCTCCCACTCCCTTCTCTTTCTCCTCCTCTTCTGCAGCTTTCTTATCCAGCCTAATTATTCCCAGTACCTCCTTTCAGGCTCCCTCATCTCCCTGGGCGAAATTCACAGTCCCTGCATTTGTGTTTCCGGAGCAGATCACCCTTCCAAGCACTAGACTCCCTTCTCGTAGATCCCCCCTGCATCTCCCACCACCCTAGGAACGCAGATGTCTGAGCCTGAACTTGCCCTTGTTCTGCTTGGCGGCGACTCTCCACGAGCTCTGTGGGCAACTCTTCACTCTTCCTTCCAGCTCCCTGCAATCTTCGAGCCCCACAGTCCTGTCATAGTCTTGTTCCTCTACAGTTCCCTCACCTCTGTCCAGGATCAGCCACCCCATAGCTCGAGCTACTGCCATCTCCTGAGGGGACTATAGAGTGGCAGCCAGAATCTTCACCTGTCCCCCAGCACCCCAGGGGGTTTTCCTTTGCTCCCAGACAAAAGCCAGAGTCTTCATGAGGCCAGGAAAGCTCTGCCTCAGGGTGCCAGATCCAGACTGCTGTGGGCTTTGCCTCTGGCTCAGGGCGGATCAGCCCATTATTCCTCACAGGGTAGTGTGGGGTTTTATGCCAGGAGTGTAGACTTACACACCTCTGGAGTTTGTCTCAAAGCAGACACAGCAGGAATCGTGATGGAATTGAAAGGCCAGAGCTCTGGGCTTAGGGCTGTCCTCGTGCTGAGGGGAGGAGGCTGCTGAGGGGAGGAGGCTGCTGAGGGGAGGAGGCTGTTGGACAGCGAACCACAGAGTAGCAACTGAGGCAGCAAAAGGTGCAGAAAGAAGGGGAGGGAGGAAGAGAAGAGAACCTTCCGTGGGGGTGGCTCAGTGAGTAACAGCTTGCCATAAATTCTGGTGACCGCGTTCCATCCCTGGGACCCACGTGATGGAAGGAGAGAAGCTACTCCCTCAAGTTGTCCTCTGACCTCCACAGGAGTGCCGATCATAGCATGTGTATGTGCACACACACACCACAGCACACACACACACACACACACACACACACACACACACACACACACACACACAGAGAGAGAGAGAGAGAGAGAGAGAGAGAAGCAATTTTTAAAAGATTACAATTATTTTTTTTTTTAAATGCTGGTTGTAAGCTGGCTTAGTGAGCTGGGCATTGGCAGCTCACACCTTTAATCTCAGCACTCAGGAGGCAGAGGCAGGTGGATCTCTGTAGGTCAGCCTGGTCTACAGAGCGAGTTCCAGGACAGCAGGAACTACATAAGGAAACCCTGTCTTGAAAAACCAAACCAAACCAAACCAAAACGATGGCTTCGTGGGTAAGGCCACTTGCCATGAAGCTGATGTCAAGCCCCCACAAGGTGGAGGGAGAGAACTAAATTTTGCAACCTGCCCTCCGAGTGATACACATACTAAATAAATAAATGAATAAATCTGAAAATAAATAAAAAACGGAAAGAAGCCTCCCAGCCAGCAGGACGAGAAGTCCCTCCCCAGAAGGGGCACAGAGCTTTTCTTTCTGAAGGGACCAAGAGGTGCTGCCCTGGGCGCTGGTGAAGTGGGAAGGGCTGGGGTCGCCTGATGAAAGGATGCCTCTGCGTCCCCACAGGCCCTGCGATGGCAAAGGAAGCGGGGACGCCCACGACGAGGAGGAACTGTATTTCCACTGTGAGTTGTCTGTGCTGCACACTCCTCCGCCTTCGACCCCTTCCCAGCCGCCACTTTCTGTTACCTCCGCGACGAGACCCCTTTCCTCAGCCTCTCTTTCTCTCTCTGTGTTCTCAGTCAAAGTCCCAACACGCCGCACGTTTCTGGATCCCCAGAGCTGCGGGGACCCGCTGCAGGCTGTGCATCTGTTCGCCAAGGAGCTCGATGCCAAAAACGTCACCCTGGAGAAGAGCTTGGGAGCAGGCAAGCCCTGGACCCTAGAAGTCTGGATTCATCAGGGAGCTCCGCCCACTGGATAAACCCCACCCACCAGGCAACACCCACTGGGGAAAGCCCTGCGTCTCCTCTATCACTACCTCTTTTCAGCCAGTGTCCCCTTCCAGTCCCCACCCCATGGCTGGAAGCCCCGCCTCTGCTCCGAGGGCACCCCTTCCCAGAAAGTACCGCGCCCTCTCTCCTCTGTTCCCTAGGTGACCCTGGGACACCTGCCTTCAGGACCTTTCCCAGACAGCCTCCTGAGTGCCTCTCAGTTTAGTCCCAGGCTTTCATGGGACAGTGGGGAAGGGCGAGTCAAAAACACACCTGATTAGCTGAGCGACTAGGGGCTCATCCTCAATTGCTCTCTGAGCCTCAGTTTCTCACCCCCCCCCAAAGGGGCGTGGCATCCGCCACTCAATGGGTTGCTGTGGGGACTCCGCAGGCTCAGGGCAGGGCCTTGCTGGTTCTGAGCACCAGCCTCCTTTTGACGGTGCACAACTGTCAATTACTTTTGCTCCCAAGAAACAGGCCTCGCCCTGGAACCTTCACAACAGAAATCAGGAAGGAGTTGTAGGGCAGAATAGAAATCATCGTCATCGGTCCTTGACTTTGTTGGGTTCAAAGACCTTTGATGGGCAGGCACGTGTCTCTAGGCCAAGAGGAAAGAGATGAAGCCCAAGGTGACACTCCTGGTACTCAGGATGCTAGGATTTGAACTCTGGAACTTCCCGCAGCAAGCTAGAAATGACCCACGACCCAGAGCCACCTTCTCCTTGGTTCAGCCTACCCCATTTGCTGTCGGGAGTCCGCTGAGGTGCTGTTTTTTCGCAGGACGATTTGGGGACCTGTGCTGTGGCTGCCTGCAGCTGCCTGGTCGCCAGGAGCTGCCTGTGGCCGTACACACTCTGAGGGATGGTTGCTCCGACTCCCAGCGGCTCAGCTTCCTGGCTGAGGCCCTCACCCTGGGGCAGTTTGACCACAGCCATATTGTGCGGCTGGAAGGAGTTGTCACCCGAGGTAGGCCAGGCACTGCACATGCCTGACTTAGCTGGGTACTGGGTGGGCTCCCCTTCCAGGGTATGGAGTGGGCTCAGACATAACCTTAGTTCACTAGTTCCCTTTCTCTTCAGTGACTCAGAGAGGCCCCTCTCTTGGAGTGGCCATGCTGACCCAGAATGACCTTTCCAATTTGCCAGTGACGTTTGGGGAGTGGATCACTTTCTCCTTGACTGATTTTTCTCAGCTGACTCCTTGCAGCTCTGACTTGAGCCTCTGACCCACTATGGACAGATGACTTTTTTTTTAGGGGGCCGGAGTTTTCTAGACAGGGCTTCTCTGTGTAGCTTTGGAGCCTGTCCTGGAACTCACTCTGTAGACCAGGCTGGCCTTGAACTCACAGAGATTCACCTGTCTCTGCCTCCCAAGTGCTGGGATTAAAGGTGCGAGCCACCACCGCCCGGCTCAGTTGACTTTTTTGTACCTCAGCGCCAGAATGGGTGGTAAGGCTGAGTACGTGGGGTTAATGGGCTGATGGCAAGATTAGAAAACTTGGCTTTGCTTTTGGCTGTCTTGGCTGAGGTGGAGCTGGTGGGAGGAAGTGTGTACATAGGTAGAGCCAGCAACTTGGTGTGTCTCTCTCCCTGGCACAGGAAACCCCTTGATGATTGTCACGGAGTACATGAACCTTGGGGCCCTTGATGACTTCCTCAGGGTGAGTGCTTGGAGCCCTGGGTGGGAGAGTACCAGTGTCCTATTTTTCTTGTCTCCTCCCTTTTCTCTTGGGGCTTGGGATTTGGCATTGCTCCCACTGGGCAAGCTGACCTGCTGCTCGTGGTACCCTGAGTCCCAGAGGGACTTAGTGGCTTCCTGGGTGAGCTGAGCGTACGGCCCTGGCTTCAGTCCTCACCCATCCCACAGCATCACGAGGGGGAGCTGTTGGCCGCGCAGTTAATGGGTCTGCTGCCGGGGCTGGCATCGGCCATGAAGTATCTGTCAGAGATGGGCTATGTGCACCGGGGTCTGGCAGCCCGCCGGGTGCTCGTCAGCAGTGGCCTCATCTGTAAGATCTCTGGCTTCGGGCGGGGTCCCCGGGACCGAGCAGAAGCTGTCTACACCACCATGGTAAGGAGTTCCCCTCTCTGGTTCCACCTGCTGCTTCTCCTGCTGGCCACACCCAGCAGCCCCATGGTCTCCATATCTCTGCTCTGCCTCCTTCCCTGATGCTGGTGGTCCTTCCCTACCCGGTCCCTCCTCTTTGATGGTAGCATCCCCATGTCAGCTGGGCTGCTTCCTCAGATGTGAAGGGGGTCGGGGAAGACACGTGGGACTGGGATGTGGGTGCTGGTGACTCAATGCTTTCCTGCCCTGCCTTGCTCACCCACCCATAGAGTGGCCGGAGCCCAGCACTCTGGGCAGCTCCTGAGACGCTTCAGTTTGGCCACTTCAGCTCTGCTAGTGACGTGTGGAGCTTTGGCATTGTCATGTGGGAGGTGATGGCCTTTGGGGAGCGGCCCTACTGGGACATGTCTGGACAGGATGTAAGTGACCTACGCCTCCAGCTTCCTGACCTCTGCCTATTGATCCTTGGCCTCTTAGCTCCAGACCTCTCTTCTACTCCCATCCTGCCTAGAGTCCTCCTTGGGATGGTGGTGGTGGTGGTGGTGGTGGTGGTGGTGGTGGTGGTGGTGGTGTGTGTGTGTGTGTGTGTGTGTGTGTTTTGGGTGGTCTGAAGTACCCCGTCTCCTCCCCGTCTCTGGAGTCCAGGTGATCAAGGCTGTGGAGGATGGCTTCCGGCTGCCACCCCCCAGGAACTGCCCCCCCTCGCTGCACCGGCTGATGCTTGACTGCTGGCGGAAGGACCCAGGTGAGAGGCCCAGGTTCTCCCAGATCCACAGCATCCTGAGCAAGATGGGGCAGGAGCCAGAGCCCTCCAAGTGTGCCGCGAACACCTGCCTCAGGTACATCCTCGCCAACCCCCAAGCCAGGTCAGTCGGCCAGACTCTCACTTGTCTGTCGATAGTCTCCCAGTGTCCATGTCCAGTCAGCTCTGACATCCCCACCTGCTTCCGGCACATCTCACTTCATGGCAGTTACGTCCTGGATTTTGCCTTTTAGTTGGCTAGCTCCCTACTTGCTTGACTGTCCTGACCCATTTCTCCAGGGCCTTTTGTGTGCCCACGTGAGGTGCACTAAGCCCTAGGTGTGGTCACCTTACTCTCTCCCTGGTCCTTCCTTGCTTCTCAAGAGAGTGACTGGGTCTGGTGGCACACCCTGGCTGTCGACTGACTGTGGCCTCTCTGCTCCCCAGACCTCCCACCCCCCTGGCAGACCGTGCCTTCTCCACCTTTCCCTCCTTTGGCTCTGTGGGTGCCTGGCTGGAGGCCCTGGACCTGTGCCGCTATAAGGACAACTTCTCTGCAGCTGGCTACGGAAGCCTGGAGGCTGTGGCTGAGATGACCGCCCAGTGAGTCTAAGGAGCCAAGGTCAAGGACAGGGTTCAGGGAACCCAAGAGAGCTCTTACCTGGATGGGAAGGCCCTACCTGTCCTGGTTCTGGGCCTTTCCCTGTCCAGAGTAGGGAAAGGAGAGGGTTGGCTCCCACGGGGGAGTAGGAGAGGGATCGAGTCAGCCTCATACGACTGTCCCTCGTTGCAGAGACCTGGGGAGCCTGGGTATCTCTTCCGCCGAGCATCGAGAAGCCCTCCTGAGTGGGATCAGCGCCCTGCAGACTCGAGTGCTGCAGCTACAGGGCCAGGGGGTACAGGTGTGAGCAGCTCAATCCTGCCCAAGGACCTGCAAGCTACACCCGCCTTGGGTGGGAGGAGCGAGCGCTCTCTTACTCTTAGTGGGCCCTGAGCGGGTTGGTACCACGTTATCCCCCCATTTCATATCTCCTCTCAACACCTTGCTGACCTAGTGGTCCTCCAAAAGAGGTTCAGATCCCTGGAGAGGACCCCAGAGATAACAGTAGGAAGAAGTTTAGGGTGTCAAGGGCGAAGCCGGTTGGGGGAAGATAGTCAATTTCAGTTGTCTTACCTCAGGCCCCTTGGTCTTCCATGCTCACTGGGGGTTGGGCCTAATCAGTGGGCATCTCATTTCCTCAGAGAGCTTTTAGCCTGCCAGGCAGTAAGGGTCCCTGAGAGAGACCCATTGGTTGTAGCAGAGGCCACAGCTGCCTGGTCACCTAAGTATGGGACCCTGGGCTAGTGGGTGGTGTTCCTTAATTCCTATGCCTTGGCTAGGTCTGTCTGAACCCTGGTCCCAAGGCCCAAGCAGGAAAGTGGTGCTGAGCTCAGGGACTGGACCCCCCAGGCGGAGACTTCAGAGCTGATGGCTTCCTGCCTTGGGTTAGCAGGTCAGGGCGAGGGCCAGGTTCCTACTAGGGCACACAAGGTCCTGGTGCTCCCCCTGGGCCTGGCTGTCTCATTTATTTGGGAACTGATTCAGAAGAGATCGGGGTAGTGGGGGGAGGTGTTGCTCTGCATTCTGGAGAGTAGAGAGAAGGAGAAAGAGACTGAGGAGGCAGTGGTTTTGACAGTCTGGTTCAACCCCCCTGTATAGATGGGGAAGTCAGAGCTTATGATCTCAGAGCCAGGGTTTGACGCCAGACCAAAATCCAGGGAGAAGGCTGACTCTGGAGACAGCTTGCCCTTCCCCATGGTACCAGCACCGTTCCCTGCGCAGCCCAGCGACTCCTCGCTGGGTGAGTCCCTTCAGGCTGCTCTGCCCCCACACGCCATGCTTCCTCTGTAGAGTGCGTGCGTGTGTGTGTGTGTGTGTGTGTGTGTGTGTGTGTGTGTGTGTGTGTGTGTGCTGTCCAGAGCCTTGAAGGAGTGTGGTGCTACCTGACCTATCTGCAAGGGCCCTGGCAGCTGTGAGAACTTGAGACCAAGACTATCCTGGGAGGGCAGAGAGGCTGCTGGATGTGGACAGGACCACTGGGGCCAAATTTTTCTACATCATTCCTGATGGCTCCCTGCTCTGTTTCTGCTGTGGTAGGGAAGCGGGGCAGCATGGGCTGGGCCAGCAAGTGGGAGTGCAGAGAGGCAGACAGAATACAGTGTGCCGTTGGAGGGATCAGACTAGGAGCGGATTCCCCTGGGGGACAGGAAGGATGGCCAGGTAGACTGTTGACATGTATGTGTCAAGGGGTGTCCAGAAAGCTTCTTAGCCTAAGTCAGAACTGAATAAGGTCTTGAAGGGTAGAGCGTTCTCTCTGTAGGGTGGTTGGAGTTACCAGCAGGCTCAGAATCCAAGCAAGGATCTCTAGCAGAGAGTCTGGGGGCCGGAAGCCACAGCATCTTTGGGGAGTAGCCCATAGGGGGGTCAGTGACTCTCAGCAGTGCCTTTGGCCTTGATCTGCCAGCAGCAGCTCTTCCCTCATCAGAGCCTGCCCCATTTCTGGCTCTCTGCTCCCTGGTGGACACCTGCCTGAGCTCAGTGACTGCAGGAATGCTGGGGTAGACTGGGATACGGCACCCACCTTTGACAGACCTGGGGGAACTGATAGGCCCCCACAGGCTCTTCCTTCATTCTCCCTCCAGGGAAAACTGGCCCAACATCCAAGGCTCCCGGGGACCAGTGCCCTGTCTTGGGTGATCAGAACCTCATCCCCATCTCCAGCCACATCAGTCATTCTCAAGGTCAAACTCCTCCCCTCCCCAGTTGTCAGCAGAGGGGTCCCTGGTTGTGTTGGCAAGACTTCGGTGTCCAGGGTAGACCTCCCCTCTGATGAGGAGTGAGGTCCTAGAATCCTGAGAAGGTCCCAGGCCTCGGCCCTGCACAGCACCAGCATGATACAGGGTGCTAGGCCACTGGGGACCCTCCACAGATCTATTTTTTTACATGGAACTTGTTTGCTGGACAGAGAGAGGTGGCCTGGAACCCATATTGCCCTGTCTGCACCCACCCGGGGAGGGAGGGGCTGGTTGTGGGTGGAGGCTCCTTTGAGGAGCTCTGGAGATGCTTTTTATATTTCTTGGGTTCTATATGCAGTACAAAGTAATAAAAACTTGTCCGTGTTATGGTCCTTCTGTGTGGCATTGTTAAACCACTGAGCAGTTGTGGGTGGAGATTCTGCACACAGACCCTGAGTATGCATTTGCCTGAGATCCTTCTGCTGTGAAGAATGCCACAGTCCAGTGGAGACACAGGAAATGGGACTGGACAAGGGCCAGGGGCACATGGGACACACTGGGTGTCACACGAGGCTGTATCACAAAACCAGTCAAGCAAGGAAGTTATGTGTGCTGGAGGACGTGGTACCTGTGCAGATGTGGAGCTGGGTACAGGAAATGACCAAGAGTTGGGTTTGGGATGTTCATGGGAGATGCTTGAAGACTGTTTAGTCACGGGTGGGTATCTAGGTCTGGACCTTGGAGCATAGATGTGAGCTAGAGACTGACCTCTGGGGTCATCATCGCCTCACGAATGTGGCCTTGGCAGTCGGTCCAGCCTCTAAGGCAGCACACAGGGCTCCAAGGGAGTTCCGCAGTGTCAGCAAAGCTAAAACTCTTCTGAGGAGTTAGGGAAAATGAGGACACTCACACACTCTCTTGATGGTTTCTTTTTTTTTTTTTTTTTTTTTTGGTTTTTCGAGACAGGGTTTCTCTGTGTAGCTTTGCGCCTTTCCTGGGACTCGCTTGGTAGTCCAGGCTGGCCTCAAACTCACAGAGATCCACCTGGCTCTGCCTCCCGAGTGCTGGGATTAAAGGCGTGCGCCACCACTGCCCGGCCGGTTTCTTTTTTTTTATTCTCCTTCCCCCTCCTCTCTACCACACTGCTTATATATCCCAACAAAATCTTTCAGGCAATATAAGAGTCATAGAAGGTTGCATTCCATAGGTAAAGACATGGCGAAAAACAGCCATCCCAACAACTCTCATGCAACATATCTATGGAGCCTGTCATGAGCAAGCAAGGAGCATATTTTCTCAGTCAATCCTTTTATTGACAGGCTGTAAATTGTAGTTACAAAGAAAGAATCAATTACTTTATTATCTATCTTGAGAGGTAATCTTATAAGGAATGTTAAAGGAATCATAAACCTAAACTGCAGAAGAGCCCAAGAAAATGAGAAAATTGTGTCCTTGAGACCAATCTGAGTGTATAGCCGCGTCACCCTTTTACTGCTGCATTTTTTTTTTTTTTTTTTTTTTTTTCCTGAGACAGGGCTTCTCTGTGTAGCTTTGGAGGCTGTCCTGGAACTTGCTCTGTAGACCAGGCTGGCCTTGAACTCACTGAGATCCATGAGGTATGAGCCACTACCACCCAGCTTGCCCCTGCATTCTTTCAAGTAGGCAAATTAAACTAACTCATGACCATGTAAACATTTTTTTAACTAACATTCTGTAATCAGGAATCATAAATTCTGAATTCTCTTTAAATTTCCAATTTGCCTGGTGAGTGTTGGACAAAGAGAAGCTAAGGGTGTCATAGATTCTCTAGTTCATGCTCAGGTACCACATTCTTTTAGTATCAGCTTAGCTGGCACATTACATGATACTGTGACGCTTAAATCTTAAAATGTACTTTTTGTCCCGTGTATGATTCCTGACTATCCAAGAAAACCTGTAGCCCTTATTTTGAGGCTACAGAGTCAAATTATTTTCTGTAACCCTGACTAGTCAAAATTGCACAAATTGAGGTCAGGAAGGGGTGCAAGGAATTAATCACTTGCCAGCTAGCAATAATTGGGCTGTTTTTGTATTTTATGACCTAAGCCAGACAGCTCAGTAATGTCCTTACAGATTGCTTTACTGGGAATGTTTATCTTAAAAACCATTAGCAAGGCATCTGGTCTAATTTAAAGCTATTTTGAAGCTTTGTATCAGCTAGTGGTGCTCAGCAATAAAATTAAAGGATTTGAGCCATCCTGGCTCCCAGTTAATCATTAATTTGAGCTGTGATCAGAAGCAGCTCCGTATGGGGAACTCTGTAGCATATCCTTGTATTCATTTTTATTCATCAAAATTATACAGCTTAATGAGGGATCATCTTCCTGACAATCCACAGATATAAATGCCCAGTAGCTGGGGATGTATTCATGAGATAAACACACTACAATACAGGCAGTGTAGCAGCAACACGTAAAGGCACAACAGAAGCAAAGGACATTCATTCTGGGGTCTGTATCCTCGTAAGCCTTGCTTAAACAAGATATACTCATCAGAGAGTTTTTCTTCAGGTGGGCTGACACCCTGAGCCCCAATTGCCACCTGCTGTTCCTCTGACACGGCTACCAGCAACCACACTGAGGAAGGTTGAAGCCACCATGGGAGGGAGGCCACCCAGGGAGCACAGAGAGTAGAGGGGAGTCCTGGAGAAGCTCCAGCATTACAGGGCAGCTTGGATAGAGGGGCACAGGAGCCAGACTGCAAGGAGCACTAGGAAGGAGAGGCTAGGTGGTTAAGAGCACTAACACTGGCCACTCTTCCAGATGACCCAGGTTCAATTCCCAGCACCCACATGGCAGCTTACAACTGTTACTCCAGTTACAGAGGATCTGGCACTCTCACACAGGCATACATGCAGGCCATCACAGGAACTATGAGTTTCGGTGGGTGTCAGATCCAGAGTGGTGGTGGGGTGTAGGGGAGATGACATTGGTGACTAGACTACATGCTTATTCCAGGCCACTACAGCAAAGAACTACACCCTGGGTGTTGTACATAATGTGCTTATTATCACACAGCTCTGGGGCTGCAAGGCCAAGATCAAGTCTGCATTGCTTCTGCAGACTGAGGGGAACATCTCTGGGTTTGACCATGGCCATTTTCTGTTTCTCTGCATCTGGTCCATACCAGCCCAGCCCAACAGCCTCGTTTAAACTTAATTATTTCTTCAAAGATGTCATCTGCAAATACAGTCATGTTCAGTTATTGGGGTTAGGATTTCCACAAAGGAGTTTGAGTGGGGAATTATACAGCTCCTAACGATGACCTTAATTTTAGGGGTGCAGAAGTCACAAGAGAAAGATGGGGGGTAGAGCTGAAGAATCTTACAGATTGCAGCAAAGTGCTCCTGCAATGTAGGGTTATTACTAGCAACGTGATACCCCAGGTAGATACAGCATATGGCTGGGAGTTGAAACGGTCTTCTCTGGGCAGTAAGCCTGATCTGGTTTTATGAAGTAGCCTCCTGTTCAGCCAGTGTGTACCAGACAGCACTGGGAGCTAAGATCTCATTGCTTACTACATAGCCTAATATAAAAAGAATGAGGCATAATTCTAGGCACTGTGAACTCCAGAGGCTGTGCCTTGCCTAGTCTCCACCCGCCTGGGGATGCTCCCAGAGGAAACCGAGTAGTGAGTTTACTGCCCTTGTTAAGCAGGGCCTGACCTTGGCATTTCTGCAGATCACATCTCCCCTCCTGACCTCACCCCCTTGCACTGCCTACCATAGCCTGTACCCCTTTGCCGGCTGAAGTTCATGGAGCAACCAAGAGAAATCAGAAACCATTTAGGTTCATAGATGACCTCAAGATGCCTACAGCATGTTAAGTGTGGGCAGGGGAAATGTTTTGACTAAGACCATTTCATGTAAGAAAAATCCAGAATCCAGACCAAGCTTGTTTCTGAATTGTGACTATCCTCCCTGAGCCCCGGGTGGTTCCCTTGTCTAGGATGGCCTCATATTTACTATGTAGCTGAGGATGACCTTGAACTCCTGATACCCCTGACTTCAATCCTCACATTCTGGTACCATCACACCTAGTAAATTGTCTTACTTATAATCCTCGAGTGTGTGTTACATTGAATTTTAGGTGTAGGCCAACAACCATCACATCATGTAACAAGGTAGGCAGATTTAGGTGTATATTGTGACAGAGATTTGCTTTGCTTTTCAGGGGTCCTGGGAACACCCTGAAGATGGAAGCCCTGTGGTGGCATAGGATTTCCCTATTATTTTTGGAGATAGGCCTTTCATTACCTTGAGAGAATGGTTGTGCCTGGCTTTCAAAGAACAATGCCTTGATGTCCACTCTCTCACTGATGAACTACTTCACAGGGTGGCCTAGTTTCAAGGAAAGACATGTAGGATCTGTCCAGCAAGGGGCTCCTCAAAATCCCAGGGCCCCTGGAGAACTTGGAGGAACCTTCTCTTTATTGGCACCCAGGGTCTTGAGGGAGGATGCCACGGTGCATCTGCCCTTCTACCCTGAGCAGCTCTGGTACAAACTGTCCAGAGGGATGAAGTAGGTCAGAGGAAGATGTCACCTCTGGGGCTTCGAACTAGAAGCCACACCTCACCTCTGCCAAACTAACCCAAACACCAAGGGTGCAATTTGTTCAACATTATTAAGCCCCTTCTCTGAAACACTGGGATGGGGGAACTCAACCCTTCTTTAGGAGGAAGGAACAGTGTAGTCAAAACACCTACTGTGTGTGCACTGTGCATCTTGTTCAACTGAGTTTATGCTGCCAGTGTTGGAAACGGAAGGCAGCACAGTAGACCTAGCTTTGGGTAGCATGGAATCCTACCCGATCCCCGAGGGCAGGCTCAACACAGAGATGGAAGTCTCAGGTGTAGCTGTAGTGACAGCTGTAGGCTGTCACTTCTCTTCCAAATTCCACCACTGACCAGAGGCTTCTTCTCTATAAAGGGCATACCCAGCAAGCCCAGCGACCAGAGGCTTTTTCTCTATAGAGGGCATACCCAGTGATGGCCCCAGTTCTTTCCCAGAGTCCTTTGCTACCAGCATTCCATGCAGCCCATCAGTGCGGGGAGCTGGAGGAAGCAGCGAAGTGAGCAAGAAGCATGATGGTGGGTGCCCTGCCCCTCTTGGCCAAGCCCCACACTGGTTTACTCTGATGTCTTCTGGTTCATCTTCCTTAGCTCCTGGGACAAAGTGTGGGGAACGCAGCTAGCCTGCGTTACCACAGCCCTGGATCTTGGAGTCCCTTTTGGAGGTCAGTGCTTTTGCCCATAGGAAAGGTTTCCCCACTCCTGAGAAGGCAGTTGTCCAGGGATGCCCACTCCAGGAGCTGCGGCCTGACTGCAGCACAGCTGGAGACAACAGGCAGGCTGAGGACTGATTTAAAAACCAAAGCAAACCAAGATTTATTGAAAACAGCAATCTTGCAGTAGGACAAGTCGGCTGAAATGACACTGCTCAGGAAACAACATGCATGAAAGCCTCAGCAGTAGACAAACTAGAGAGGACTGAAATAACAAGACTGACTATGACTACCACAGAGAGCCGTGCAGCGGCTCCTGCAGGAGCACAGGACCCACCGCTCCCTGCAGAGCACGAGTCACACGGCCCTGCTCATAAGCCCTCCAGGACAAGGCTCCAAGCAGTCTACAGACTGGTGGGACCTCGAGCCACAGACGGCTCACAGTCACTCTGCACCAGGCACACAGAGCCCTTGACTAGGCCTGTGTTCCCGATCCAAACAACTAGAGGTGTGCAGCAAGACACCGGAGCTCTCTGACAGACAGACAGACAGAAGCACCGTCCCAAGTGTCAGCAAGTGAAACTCTCCATCCAGCACCCCACAGGCTGGGGGAAGAGGACAGATGTGCGCTCTGCTGCCACCTCTGCTGCCCCCCCCCCCCCCCCCCCCACCGCCGCAGCCGCCTTCTCATTTGCCGGTCCGTATGCTGTTGCAGATCTGGGCAAGGCGGCTCTAGAGAGAGAGAGGTCATTTTAAGACATGCCAGCCCAGTCAGCTTAGTCTACCCAAGCACAGGATTGTTTTTAAAGACTGATTTTTATTTTGTTTTGTTTTTTTTCGAGACAGGGTTTCTCTGTGTAATATTCCTGGCTGTCCTGGGACTCACTCTGTAAACCAGGCTGGCCTTGAACTCACAGAGATCCGCCTGCCTCAGCCTCCCAAGTGCTGGGATTAAAGGCATGCACCACCACAGCCCGACAAGACTGATTTATTTTTATTTTATGTGTGTGAACATGTCTAATGTCTACAGAGGCCAGAAGAGGGCACTAAATCCCCAGGAACTGGAGTTACAGGCTACTATGTTTGCTGGGAGCTAAACCTGGGTCCTCTGCAAGAGCAAGTGGGCCTAATCACTGGGTCGGCTCTCCAGCTTCCCAAGCCCAGATCTCAGGGACTCTTCCTTTTGTTCTTCATTTGTATTGTAAAGTAATCAGAGACTAACTGGAGACTCATTTCTTAAGAGAGACACTGACGCTGGAGGATGACTGTCACAGATGTCTATGGGACCTTAGTACATATTGAGGACCCCAGCTCAAGGCTTGTCTCATTCCTGATGGACACAAAGATGGGCCTCCAGCAGCCATGCCTGTACCCCAAGCTCCCGCCCACACCCAAGTACGGCTGACTGGGCTGTAGGCGGGCTATTCCTCTTGAGAATTTAAACTAAGATAGAAAATGGAACAGTGTTGACAGTAAAGTAAGAGCTGGGCAGTGCTCTGCAAAGCCCCACAAAGGCCAGTGCAAAGGGCAGGCTCCTCCATGTGGAGACGAACCCAGGACTCACCGAGAGCTTCTTAATGTTTCCTATGGCCTCTGGATTCAGCTGAGCGATATCAACCTTCTGCAAGTCACTGGCCAATAACCGCAAACTCTGTATGGAGGGAGAAAGGGTTAGATGGCATGTCCTTCCAGATCGGAACCTCTGGCAGCAGCCAGTGAACCCAGGGTCCCCTTGATAGTCTGCATGTGGTGACAGAAGACAGCTACGATGGAGAAATGATAATGTAGGCGGATAGTACCAGTATGTTAGACCTCAGGAGACAACGATGCCATCAATGCTATCAGTGGACCACTGGGTGGGTTACACAAGTACAATGCCACACAGACCAAATCTGAAATCAGACGCCCACCCCTCATGCAGGCTAGCAACCCACTCTGCAGCACTGAGAACCAGGCCAGCCTGTTTCAGCATCTCTCAAGACCGCTGGAGGTACACGGCCCTACCCCAGGGTGCCTTCCTCTGCGCTCCCCCTAATAGCCATTACTGTACACGCAGCGGATGGAACCCAGAGTTGGGCATGGGTCCTCCCAGCTGGGCCGCAACCCTGGGAGAGAACACCAGGTCCTGAGTGCTGAGGCAGTGTGGTGACTAGGATCCACCCACTGAAGGGATTCTTCAGGGTCTCTGAGGCAGGCGTGGGGAGCCAACTCAGAGGAAAGAGGCTTCGCCGTGCAGCACACTGGGGCCTGGCTTCCCAGCATGCCACTTACCGCACCACCACCCACAGGAACAGTGAGGGAGATCTCTTTGCTGTCAGCAAGAGGGCTGCCATTGATGGAGATGTTGTAAATCTGCTCTCTGGCTGCTGGAGTGCGCAGGCCTGGGGTCTTGAAAACCCTAAAAATTGGAAAACTCAGTGAAGACGGCTTGGCAGACTGAATAATGACACCCTCACAACAAGCCCTTCCAACCCCATCTGGTCTCAAGCTGTAGTTTTCAAATCACACGCTTCTAAGAAGGCAAATTCTAAATTTAGGGAAAACATTTTTCAAGCTGTAATGACTAAACACAGCTGGAGAAAGGAGGCTGCAATTATCAAACATACGTCCAGCAAAAGTCAACTCATACCCATGCAAACTGAGGGCCAAAGCTCCGTAATTTCCCACTCATCCACAGAACCAGAAGCACACGGGTTCCTGTGCATCCAAACGTAGCTTAGTACTTCCACCCCGAGGACCTCTCCAGGGTTAAGGGAGGGGGATTCCGAGACAACATCACACTAATCCCTGAGACATCCTTCTCTACACAGAACTTCAGTATGTATTTCCTTCAAAATGGCGGTAAGTAGATGTCGCAAACAGTGGAGTAGGAATTGAAATAGAAAGTCGCCAGGCGAATCTCTGTGATTTCGAGGCTAGTCTGGTCTACAGAGCTAGCTCCAGGTCAGCCAGGGCTATACAGAAACCCTGCCTTGAAAAACCAAAAATAAATAATAAAAAAGTGGGAAGTCTTCCTCATTCGAGATAGCCCTTTCCTGTCCTACTCCCTAGAAGCTATTAGTATGTATTTATCTATTTATCTATTTATCTATCTATCTATCTATTTATTTATTTAGGTTTTTCAAGACAGGGCTTCTCTGTGTAGCTTTTGGAACCTGTCCTGGAACTCACTTTGTAGACCAAGCTGGCCTTGAACTCACAGAGATCCGCCTGCCTCTGACTCCCGAGTGCTGGAATTAAAGGCGTGCACCACTACCACCCGGCTGAAGCTATTGGTCTTAATTCCCTATTTTCCTCTATGCCCAAGAGCAACAGGAGCCGCAGTACACCTGGGAAGCAGCCTGGGAGAACTGCTGTGACTGGGAGGCTCCTCCCTTGGAGCGCACACCATTCTCATTTCGTCTCATGTAGCCCAGGTTGGCCTCAAACTGGCTATGTGGCCAAGGGTGACCTTGAACTGATCTTCCTGCCTCCATCTCCTGAGGGCTGGGATTACCAGTGCATGCTACCATCACTCTGCCTTAACTGTGGCAACACAGGTTTCCTGCCTCATCAGCTAGCCCCCAGGGTAGGTATTAGCTTCTGCTGTAAACAATCTTGTTATGTTGGCTTCAGGAAAGGTGCTATCAATTTTCTTCTTTCCAAGGGTACAGGAATAAGGAATAAGACTCAGCTTCCAATACCATCTGAACAGAATCAAAGACTAAAAGCACAGGCCTCTGATCATCACAGGCCAATGCTCTCTTTCCTCTCATCAGGTAAGGAATTGAAAGCAGTGTCAGGGGAGGGCCAATGGTAGGAAGCTCAACTGTGCTCTCTCTGAGGTGTCTCACCAAAGATTCAGGAGCATTACCTATACTGTTCACAGCTGGGCTCCACCCAATCCACGGGCTGCTCTCGGTACTTACCTGGAATCAAACCTAGGTGTCACGCCTGGGGTTGGTTTCACCAGAGATGGCTCCAGTCTGCTCATGGCTGGTGTCACAAAATCATTGCTTAACCTGCAGGGAAGAAAGAGCCACGAGGGGTGTCAAGCCACAGGTGCAAGGATGGCAGCAGCTATAGAGGCAATGGTCATGTCAGATGCAGCCCTGCACCCATCACGTTATGGAACCCTCTGAGTTCCTGGGAGGGGAGCACAATTTGTATCCTTTTACAGCCACAGATGGTCATCATAGTAAAGAACTTCCCCGAGATGACACAGTAGTGAGGAGCAGAGAGGCTGAACCCGGCAGCCTATGGCAGTATGGGACTTGCCAGCCAGGTGGAAGAGCCTGCGGACCATGAGCCTGGTTCTCTCTAGGCGGCTGGCTAATGTCTGTCAGGACATGGTCTGCCCTTCAGAGACAGGCAGTCTAGGGCCTAACTTCATACGTTGTTTCCCTTCCCCTCAAAGGGTTTACAGTGGAGTCCCCATGATCTATTTGAGCCCATGGAGAGTCTAAGCAGGACCAGGAGGGCATTTCAAGAAACTATGGGGCTGGAGAGGTGGTTCTATGGTTAAGAGCACTTCCTGCTGTCCAGAGGCCCCACATTCCCAGTGCCCACATCAGGTGGTTCCAGCTGCTATGCCTCATTCCCCAGAGCTCCCTCTGCTTCTGTTTCTACCATGCTGAACAGACTTCTCCACCAAAAACAAAGCAGCACATCTATCTCAGGAAACCATCACCTTTTGCTCCTGCCTCTTCCTTGTACGGACTGGGTTCTCTTCCTAGATGGAGGGCATCTTTTGACCTAGAAGCACAATCAAACAAACCTGAAGTCACACAGAGCCTAGCAAAGGAGAAAAGAAAGATAACAGAGGGGAAGGAGAACTAGCTTTTGAAAGGAAAAGTAGAACTCAACACAGGAAGGTTTATCACAGTTGAGCACAGTGGCACACGCTGGTAATCCCAGCACCTGAGAGGCTGAGGCAGGAGGACAGTGAGTTCAAGGCCAACCTGGGCTACACAGTGAGGCTATCTCAAAAACCAGACCAAACACACAAGGGCTTCTGTAGAGAATTCAGTGATTAAAATACGTACAACTTGAAGACTTGAGATAAAAGACATGGGCCAAGATTAAAGGGAAATCTTGCATGTATACACAAGCGTGTATGTGTCACTCAGACATGAGTGACACAGGGAGTCCAGAGATGGATGGTGGGTGTTTCCCCATAGTGTTCCTCCCCTTATTGTTTGAGATAGGCCCTCTCACTGAACTTGGAGCTCACTGATGGGCTGGTCAGGTTGGCTTGTTCCCACTACTTTCCTTCCGACCCCACTGTCTCCCTTCCTGGCCATCCGTGGGAGTTTTCTGAGGATCTCATTTCTACCTCCCCTCTAGTGCACATCAGCAGCTCCCCACTCTGCTTACTCCAGCACAGTCTTCTCAGCTGGGATGAATATATAAAGACCCAGGGTCAGAGAGTCTCTCCACCTTGCTGAGCTCTAGGCTGGAATCCTGTCTACACATCCTGAAAAGTACTCAGCAGGGCAGGCAATTGGCAGGTGCTCCCTGGAGCCTTAATCAGAGGCTCTGCCTTTTCAGGGGTCCTACAGTCACTGGATGGCCACTGTCTAGTCTAGAAAGTATTTACCATCTCTAGTTTCTCCTTTCTTAGGCCAACCAAGCTCACTTTTTCTTTTTTCACTTATAAATGCCCAGCCTTAGCTTGGCTTGTTTCTGGCCAGCTTTTATTTTATTAAAAATTTTTTTTTTTCCATTTTACATTCCAACCCCTGTTCCCCTTCCCTCCTCTTCTTTCGCACCCGCCCCCCCCCATCCCATCCCCATCCCCTCCTCATAGGCAGTAAGGCCTCCCTTGGGTAGTCAACACAGGCTGGCACACCAAGTTGGGGCAAGCCCAAGCCCATCCCGCCTGCATCACGGCTGAGTAAGGCATTGCATCATAGGGAATGGGGCTCTAAAGAGCCAGTTCGTGTACCTGGGATGAGTCCTGGCCTCATTGCCAGGGGACCCACAAACACATCAAGCAATGCAACTGTCACCCACATTAGTGGGCCTAGTGTGGTCCCATGCAGGCTCCCCAGCTGTCAGTCCAGAGTCCATGAGCTCCCACTAGTTTGGATCAGTTATCTCACTTTTTCTTGCTAACACTCACCCCAGAAACATCCCTACTTCTTTTGAAACAGGTACTACACTTCAGGTTATCCTTACTATGCCCCTTGCCTTCCTTTTCCCTCTTCCATTCATTCTGAATAGTTTTGAAATAACGACAGCTCTTACAGCTCTTACTAGTGCCTAGCTGACAGAATGGAAACTCAAGCTTGGTATACGGGCATCCATTATCTGGTCTCTACTTTCCTCCATTATTCTCACAGCTTCTATCCCAGCCATACCAAACCACTTCCTGCTCCTCAGAAAGACTTTCCTCCCCTGTCCTGAACTCTTGTCCCTTTCTTCTTTAGCTAGTGAAGCTTCTTCTGAAAGGACTGGCTGGGGGAGTCCTACAGCTTCCTCCTCCCTCCTCTTCCTGATCCACACACTTTACACTTGTATCTGCAGTGACTTGTGCTATTTGACACATAAAATGCAATCTTCTCAGTCTGTGAACTCTGCCAGAACAACACTGTATTCCACATTAAAAAAAAATTAATTTGTCAGGTGTTTTGCCTGCATGTATGTATGTGTGCCAAAAGTGTGCCTGGGAGCCATGGAGGCCAGAAGGTGGTGTCAGATCCCTTGAAACTGGAGTTACACACAGCAGTGAGCCTCCACAGGCACTAGGAATTGAACTAGGGTCCTCAAGAGCAGCCAGTGCTCTAAAGTGCAGAACCACCTCTTGTAGTGGGTAGCCATTCCAGCTTTGATCTGGAAGTTCCAACCCCCATTGAGGCTTTGGTAACTGTCACGCCTACAAGGCGGGGCCGAGAGAGGACCCTGAAGACCCAAGATCCGGATGTGCTGGCTCTCTTGGTTCCTGGACCCTGGACGCTGAAGGTAGACCGAGCAGAGTTCTCCAGAGAACACTGCCAGACTGCGCTACACCTTTCCCAGACCCTGTAAACTATCCCTTCATTTGTGAGTTACCCCACAAAATAAACCTCCCTTTTAACTACGTGGAGTGGCCTTAATAATTTCACCAATAATCTCTCCAGCCTTATCCCAAGTCTTTCTCTGTGTAACTCCCTAACCTGAATTACTACTTACTCTTGTAGATCGAAGAGTCTTATGATTCTTTTCCTCTTCTTCTTCCATTATCGCTTCATCCACCTGGATTACCTTCCGCTCTATAACAAACAGTCTTAAGAGTTACTTCAGTCGAAACCTGTTCAGCTCAGGGGGGGTCCACAGCACTGCCTTCCATGTAAAAGCCCCTCAGATATGAGAATTTGTTATTTCTGCTGGAATCATTCATCTTAAACATCCCTTGTACTCCTTGTTCTTCCTAAGGTAACTATAATAATAATGTTATTTACAAATAGCAATGTGATAACTAGTAGTTTTTTGGGGGTGGTGGAGGTTGTTTTTGAGACAGGTTTTCTCTGTGTAGTCTTGGCTGTCCTGGAACTCACTCTGTAGACCAGGCTGGCCTCAGACTCACAGAGATCCACCTGCCTCTGCCTCCCAAGTGCTGGGATTAAAGGTATGTGCCACTACCATCTGGCTATTACTAGTAGTTTTTGTAACTTGTGTTTCATACTGTCCAATTGGCCTTATGTTCATTCATTCCACAAATAACAACTACAGGCACAATTCTAGGGTTTGCGGATACAGAAGCAACAACCCTCCACACCCACTCTTATACAGAGAACCTGTTTCAAGTCTTACAACCTTGTCCAGTGGGGACACCCTGTTATAGATAAGGCAACTGGTGAGTTTAGTAAAGCCATCTGGACTAGGAAGCGGCAGCACCAGGTCTCCTACTCATCTGTTTTGTTCTTCTTATTGGTTTTTTGGTAGTTTTCTCATTTGTTTTTGAGATAGCGTCTTGCTACATAATCTAGGCAGGTTTCAAACTCACTATATAACCCGAGCTGGCCTCAAACTTGGAATTCTCATGCTTTAACCTCCCAAGTGCTGGGATTACAGGTACATGCCATCACTCTTAGCCCAAATCTGTCTTAATCAGAATGCTGGGCTGGTCCTACAGTAGCACTACATAGTGGGTTTTTTACTTGTTTGTTTTTTTTAAAACCACTCTGATTGTTTTCTTTGTTTAAAACTTCTTTTTAAAAAAGATTTCCTGGAGGGCTAGAGAGATGGCTCGATGCTTAAAATCACTTGATGCTCCTGTATAGGGACTCAAATTTGGTTCCCAGCACTGAAGTAGTGGTTCAAAATGATCTGAACTCCAGTTTCAGAGCATCTGATGCCCCCTCTGACTTCCTCAGGCACCAGGCATGCATGTGATGCTCATACATACATGCAGACAAAACACTCAAACACACAAAATAAATAAATCTTAAAAACCAAACCAAAACAAACAAACAAAAAAACAAAACAAAACAACAACAATAAAAACACCAGAGTTGGGTGGCAGTGTCGCACACCTTTAATCCCAGCACTGGGGAGGCAGAGCCAAGAGGATCTCTGTGTGTTTGAGGCCAGCCTGGTCTAGAGAGTAAGTTCCAGGATAGGCACCAAAACTACACAGAGAAACCCTGTCTCAAAAAACCAAAAACCGCCGGGCGGTGGTGGTGCACGCCTTTAATCCCAGCACTCGGGAGGCAGAGCCAGGTGGATCTCAGCGAGTTCCAGGAAAGGCGCAAAACTACAGAGAAACCCTGTCTCGAAAAACCAAAAAAAAAAAAAAAAAAAAAAAACCAAAACCAAACCAAACCAAAACAACAGAACAAAACAAATTTGCTAAATAAATACAAGCTAGGAGCTAGAAAATCCTGAGCAGGGGTTACAGAGAAAATTCAGGTATTTAGTCATGGTGGTGGGAGAGATCAGACTAAACACTCTAGCCCTTTTTATTAGCCGTGACCTTGACACATAAAATAATTGTGTGTGTGTGTGTGTGTGTGTGTGTGTGTGTGTGTTTTCTGAGACGGTCTCAGGTAACCCAGGCTGGTTTCATACTCACTCTGTTGTTGAGGCTGAGCTTGAACTACTGATACCCCTGCCTCCACCTCCCAAGTACTGGGATGACAGGTATGTGCCACCATGGATGGTTTTCTTTCTTTTCTCTTTGTGTGTGTGTGTGTGTGTGTGTGTGTGTGTGTGTGTGTGTGTGTGTGTGTATGGTGTGTTTCCCAAGACAGGGTTTTTCTGTGTAGCCCTAGCTGTCCTGGAACTTGCTCTGTAGACCAGGATGGCCTCGAACTTACAGATTCACCTGCCTCTCTCTCCCCAGTACTGCTCAGTTTGTTTTTCATTTAATAGCTTCCCTTTAGCTGAAGCTGAGAGGTCAAAGGGTTGGTTATAAGAACACTTGTTAACTGCTGATTGATGATGGGCCTGGTGTGTTCAGTTCTACCCACTAACTATTAAGTAAGCAAAACTTAGGGAACTCAAAGAAAAAGTGATATTATCTAAACATATAATAGTAGAGGCATGGTGGTACACCTTTTTTTTTTGTGTGGTGCATACTTTTAACCACAGCACTTGGGAGGCAGAGGCAGGCAGATCTCTGCCAGTTCAAGTCCAGCCTGGTCTACACAGAGAAGTTCCAGGATAGCAAGATCTGTGTAGGCAAATTCCATCTTAAAAACAAAACACCTGGGCTGGAGAGATGGCTCAGAGGTTAAGAGCACCGACTGCTCTTCCAGAGGTCCTGAGTTCAATTCCCAGCACCCACATGGTGGCTCACAACCATCTGTAATGAGATCTGGCGCCCTCTTCTGTATACATAATAAATAAATACATCTTTAAAAAACAAAACAAAACACACAAACCAACCAACAAACAAAAAGGTATAGAGGGACGACAGACTGAACATTCGGCCAGAAACTCTAGCCCAATTCCATCCTGTGCGCAGGGGGCAAACACCTCATGCTTTCTTCACTCTACAAGGCAGGTGTAATGGAAGCTCTGTCAGAATTAACAATGGTTCTGGTTCAGGTGACTGTCAAATGCCCCCTGGAGAGCAGCCTGAACATGCAGGCCATGGTAAGGTCTAACCCTCACCAGGATGGGATGCATCAAGCTGCCACCAAGCAATGACAGTGGCATGTGGTCCAGTTCTTCTTCTTTTTTTTTAAAGGTCTATGTCTTAATCTATCCAACCTGATTCCAGGCTCACTAGTTATAGTTTGGCTTCCCAAAGAACTGCTTCTGAGCTGGCAAGATGGTTCAGTGGGTGCTGCCACCAAGCCTCATGACCTGAGTTGAATCCCTTGGATCCATACCTCTAGTAGAAGAAAACCAATTACTGTAAGTTGTAGTACACACCAGCCCATTCCCTAACAAACAAATGTAGCAACAGTCCCACAGTATGGGATATGCCTGTGAGATGATTCTGCACAGGCAGATCACTGAACTTAAATGCTGAGGTATTTCTTTGCAATTCTTTTCAGTCCTGCTGATGATGCTAGAGAGAAATACTTCTGGAGGCACTGAGGCCTGGTTTCCAGCACACACACACACACACACACACACACACACACACACACACACACCCTTCTTTTTTTTCTTTTGTTAGTTTTTCTTTGTATTACCTGTCTCTGCCTCCAGAGTGCTGGGATTAAAAGCATGCACCAACACCTCCCAATACCCTCCTTTCACAAATCAAGTTTTTATACTCACAAAACCATGGGCCAAATAGTCTCAGCAGAGCGAGGCACGATAATGAGGCCTGGTCTGGACCTCAGCTCTCTGTCCCCTGAGGGGCTGTGAATGCACTCACACCAGGCATGCTGGCACATGCTTCTAATCCCAGCACTGAAGTAGGAAGATAACCAGTTCCAGGCTCTCTTGCATAACACACAGACTCTGACTCAAATTACTAAAGGTCTTGGAAGATGGATCAATGGAAACCAGGCAAGCAAGCGTGAGGAATGGAGTTCAGACACCCAGAACCCAGGGAAATCCCATCTGTAATCCCAGCCCTCGGGGAGTAGAGAGAGGGCATGTGGTAAGCTGGCTAGCTAGACCGGCTGAAGAGGCAAGCTCTGTCTTCAGCAAGAGACCCTACGTCAATAAAGTGACATTAACACCCAATGTCAGTCTCTGTCTCCACACACACTCACATATACTATAAACATATACACATACAAATACAATTATACAAAAGAAAAGTACTCACTTTTGACAGATTTCAAAGGTGTCTGAATAGCTTCAGCTGTTAACTTGTTTATTTCTGTGATGTCTATATCAGCCTGTGACAAACGGCCAGAAAGCACAGGCTTAGTCCAGCGTGTATAGAAATAGTAAATCAAAGTACAAACTAATTATAAACCTACCACACAACTCAAGACCTAAGACCTTGGCAATAACTTGCTTCTGGCTATGTGTTCTTTCCTGGTTCTGTTTCTTTGCTTCTCCTGTCATTCCTCAGAGGCAAACCATGATTATTCCATTTGTTTAGAAGAGTGTTTATCGGGCTGGAGAGATGGCTCAGGGGTTAGGAGCACTGGCTGCTCTTTCAGAGGACCCAGGTTCAATTTCCAGCACCCACAAGGCAGCTCACAGCTGTCTGTAACTCCAGTTCCAGGAGATCTGACACCTTCACACCAATGCACATAAAATAAAATTAAATAATTTTTTTTAAAAAGAGAGCTTATTGATTTGGTTCTGTCCATATATACATGTATGTATGTCTGTATACACACACACACACACACACTTTTTCAGAATGTGAGAAAACACTTTTTCAGTTTTGCTTGCATATTTGTGATGTTGGTTTGTTTGAGACAGGGTCTTCCTACACAGCCAAGAGGAGACTGGGTTCGTAGTCAGTAGACTTCATGGAACACTGAAGTCCCACGAAGCATGAGTGGCACAGGATTGATGGGTGGGTTGGCAGGGAGTGCAGAAAGTGATTAGGAGAATTCTGAGGCTGTCTACACTCAGCAAGAAACAGTTCTCTAACAGATTAGTGATGTCTACCATGCCAACTTCCAACCATCTCTAGTAATGACTAGCAGGCTTTGAACTCACTACTAGCGGCAGTCTATGGACACAGTGCAAGAGCTAACACTACAGGCCTAACTATGAGGTTGGACCTTGGCTAGCTTCTGAGAACAAGGATTTCAGGATTCCTTATTCCTGCTAACAATAGCTCTCTGTGCTTAAACTTAGTGCAAATAAATATAGTTTACATGTTATCAACACCTGCTTTTCTAGGCAGAGGATGCCCTCATAAAAATCTATATGGAGTCTTGAGTGAGCTTTTCTGCTAAGAAAATGTTCACGTACATGGAATTAAGTTTGTCCTGCGACTCCACTGGAAGGGGCCTCCTGGAAGCTTATACTTGGCTTCCTCGGGTTTGGTTTTGTTAAGACAGGGTCACTTTATGTAGCCCCAACTGTCCTAGAATTCACTATGTAGACTAGGCTGCCCCCGATCTCCAGAGATCCACCTACCGCTGCGTCCTGAGTGCTTGGATTAGAAGTGTGAGCCACCATGCCTACCCTCGGCTTCCTCTGAACTTTGACACACGCACTATGTCACCCTGCTCGTTCTGCTTTGCATTCTTGTGATAGGTCACTGCCACCTGTGTAACTAGACGCTGAGGCTGGGAGTCTTCTTAGGGAATCACCAAACCTGTAACTGCAGTGTCTGAGAGGCTGAGGCAGGAGGATCAACATGTTCAAGGTAAGCTTGGCTATACAGTGGTCTTGGGAGCACCAATAAACCTAGATAGGAGCTTTGGGGCCAAAGTATCATTTCTTCCCTGGATTTCAAATCAAAGCTAACTTGGAATTCTTTCAGTTTGGTCTGGCAGTGTTGGATCTCCCACATTACATCAGGTTTATCTGCAGTTCTACATATCTGACTAATTTAAAATGAGAGAGACATATTAGCTAATGAGCATGATTCAGCTAGAATGTTTTGAAACATGAAATCTGGGTTTCTGCAGGGGGATGAGTGAAATGAATCACAGGAACTTATTCTAACAACAGAGCATGGACTAAGACTGCTGTACTGGCTTCTGGTTTGTTTGCTTGTTTCCACCCTCCTACAGCACACACCCCTCAACACTTCAACAACTGGCTCCTCTTCTCTTTAACTTCTGAAGCTGATGAACACCAGCTACTCAGTAAGACTGTGAACCCTTAAGTCACTGTAAACTTTCAATCCAAGACTCCAATTTTGATGAACTCAAACAAATGATAAACTTTCTCCCCAAGAAAACAGGCGAGTGTGTGTACACACTGTTTATATATGATTTTATCATGCCTAGGGACTCTGTGAAGGCCAATGCTGGACTAGCTCCCAACTGTGTCCAACAGAACTTTCTGCAATGACAGAAACATCCTACTGCTGTGCTGTCCAACATGGTTGCTACTAGTAACATGGCTGCTGGCCATCACAGATGTGGCTGGTGTCTGAAGAAATAAATCCTTCATTTTTGCCTCCCACCATGCTGCCTTCAGTCTTGGGAGTGATGCTAGGAAAAGATATGAAAAGGGCTATGGTGTACTGAGTCTCTGAGTCTCCAGAAAGTGACTGAGTCTTCAGCAGTGTGGCATGATAAGAACAATCTCTGTTTCCCAGTTTCCTAGGGTAGGTCACAGCCTAATAGTTTTTTGTTTTTTTTTGTTTTTTTTTTTTTCGAGACAGGGTTTCTCTGTGTAGCCCTGGCTGTCCTGGAACTTGCTCTGTAGACCAGGCTGGCCTCAAACTCAAGAGATTCTCCTGCCTCTACCCCCCAAATGCTGGGATTGAGAGCATGAGCCACCATGATCAGCTGAGCCTAGAAGAGTTAAAGGAACTTAAGCTCTAGGCACTCCACCTCCCCTGCAAACTTAGGGTAAAGGACAAGGAAGCTGTCAAAATGGAGCAGATTCCCTGGGATGATTTAGGACAGACAAATCCACCCTCTGCTATGATACTCTGCACAATATGGAACATGTCTGTAATCAACTGTGTGGGCTTTCTCCAAACCAAGCCAGGATCCTAGGATGGACACTAATTCAACTCCGATACTATCTGTCTGAGAACAGCATCAGATCCTGGGAAACTTGCCCTACTGCCCACCTAACAGCCCTACATTACTCTACCTATGATTCTCATCTATTGGCTACAAATAGGGGTCCCTACAACTGTGTAGTCTAGAGCTGCTCTCAACCAGAGAAACATTATACTTCATGTACTGATGTGTATGTGCATGTGTCTAAGCCCTCACGTGGTCAGAGGACAACTTTGATCAGTTCTCTCCTTCCACCGTGTGGACTCCAGTATCTAAGCCAAGTTGTCAGTTGAGGTATCTTTACCTGCTGAACCATTGTACTGGCCCTACATTTGGCAGTTTATGACAATTACTACAAAGGGTATAGAGAAAGAGACTGTGGGGGAGTAAAACGTCCCCCCCCAAATACACTTCTCTGGCACATTCTGAGTTGGTTACTCAGAACTGCAGACCTCTATGGGTGGACACTGGCTGCCTCTGAGAAGCCCTTCTTTGTGGACAACAACTCTATACTCTGCATTAGCAAACAGAGGCAGGCAGAGCCTTTCCACCAGAGGTCCCCAGCTGCCTAAGAAAATCTTTGTATGGGCAGAGATTGCAAGGCTAACCCTGGCATAGCGAGAGCTTGGACAGATGGCTTTCTAGGAGGCTGCTTGTGTGACAGGACAATCTTTGCAAGGTTTTCCTCAACCTCCCACAGTCTGCATTCACCTCTTTCCCTCCAACAGTCTCAAGTTCCTATTTTCTGTTGTTGTTGTTGCTGTTGCTGTTGCTTTGTTTTTAAAGGCGTGCACCACTGCCTCCTGGCTCAAGTTCTTGTTTTTAAGCCCTTACTTTAAGCCCCACCCCCACTGCCCATGAACTCCCTTGTTGATCTACATTGATATGTTTATAAACTAATCTGACCATTACCAGTTTATTTCATAGACTAACCATTATTCACCTTTCAGAGGGAAAGGAAAAACACAAACTTCCCTACCACACATCATGGCAAGGTGTTGGGAGAGGCCATGGAACTCCCATGCCCTTCTGCTGTGCCCCCGTCCCCACCCCTGGTAGCTCTCAAACCCTGTTTGAGTGTATGGAAGTGTACAGGTATGACTGATTGTTGGTCATTGGTGACCAGCTTACTTTTAGCCCTTCCTTCCACAGGAGGTGCTCTTAGCTCCAATCCTCTGAGGGTACAGTTGAGTTCCCTGGCAACAGGACCCCATCCAGTGTTGTCTGAGGACTTTCCATGTCACTTCATTAACACAAACTTGGGTGAGGTTGAAAGATGCTTGTTATGACTAGCAAAGGACTCTCACCACTGTAACCATGGAGCTGTACAGGTTAAAAGGCCAAATATTCTGATATAAGATCGTCTTTATTTCTGTAGTCTCAGGAAATTCTAAGAGGGCAGAGAAAAAGGACTGGAGAGGTCAGCAGGAAGACCACAACTTCTAGGCCAGCCTGGTGAGACTGTCTCAGGAAATCAAAAAGTAAATAAAATGGAATAGTATTTGCATATAACGTAAACATGTGTTATTATATATTTTAAACTCTCTCTAAACAAGTCAAAACACAATACAGTCTGGAGGAGGCCAGCTCCCCAGAACTGCTCCAGGGTTGTGAATAGAAGACCTCAGAGTAGCCAGATATTAGAAAACTTTTTTTTTTTTTTTTTAATCTGAGGGTATTTAGAAATAAGTTTCCATCTGACAGGTAAATAAAGAAACACACACTTTCTGATGGTAACTTTCTCTTTTTTTTTGGCGGGGGTGGGGGGGGTGGGAGGGTGGTGGTGGTGGTGGTTTCGAGACAGGGTTTCTCTGTGAAGCAGTCCTGGCTATCCTGGAACTTACTCTGTAGACCAGGCTGGCCTTGAACTCACAGAGATCCACCTACCTGGTAACTTTCTCTTTTACTTCATCTTAAAAATCTTTCTCTGAGCCGGGCGGTGGTGGCGCACGCCTTTAATCCCAGCACTCGGGAGGCAGAGCCAGGCGGATCTCTGTGAGTTCGAGGCCAGCCTGGGCTACCAAGTGAGTCCCAGGAAAGGCGCAAAGCTACACAGAGAAACCCTGTCTCGAAAAACCAAAAAAAAAAAAAAAAAAAATCTTTCTCTGGAAATCTCTCTCCACACATCTACATCTCTTAACATACAGCTATGTATCTCTCTTTGCATACATACATCTCAGAATCTTTCTGAAAATCTCTCTTGCTCTCTATCCTACCTAGTCACTCATTCTCTTTCCTTAGCCTCCCTCCGCACACCTGCACCCACATTCTGACACTCTCTTACTCCTCCTCCTCTCTCTGACAGTCAAACTCTGGATAACTATATATTACATTTTTAGGGTCACAAAGCATTTCTTGAGTAAACAACCAGAGACAGAGCCAAACTGATACACTTAAGGAAACACACAGTTTCTCTCAGGCTAGGAAGGTCACATTGACTGGCTAGCCAGTAACACTCGGCCAAGCACTTAGCCTATTGTTAGGGTTCTCAGAAAGTAAACAGTTGCTTCAAGCCTGACCTTGAGTCAGTGATAAACACCTGGGAATTCATCCTTGCATATTTGTCTCCAGGAGCAGCCAGTTTGCTTTGAATATGTTCTGGAGTCTAAAATTAGCTGTCTTTGTGACTGAAAATACTATTCTCTCCTTCATCAGTTATGAAAAATATTCTAATATTATTAGAATTATACAGCTTAAGTAGAAATCATCTTCCTGACCATCCACAGCAGTATGTGTACCCAAAGATGGAATATTTTTACAAGATAAACACACAAGCAGTGGGGAAAGTACCCATAGCTGTTATTAGGGAAGAAATGAAGTGGCACATGAGAAAAATTACAGACAGAAACAACCAGTTATTTACAGTCAGTGACTCCATGGCTTTGCCAAGTGGGGCTCCCCACCTGGTGGGTCGACCTGTTAAATACTAGTTGTCACCTGCTGTATACTTCCACGGCCTCCTGCATGGCACTTAAAGAGTAAGTATGTACACAGGCAGTGTGGATGCAATCTATTTTTTTCTGAATATTTCTGACGCATGGTTGCATGCAACCCAAGATGAGGAACTCACAGGAGAGGGGGGTGTCACACAGCACACTCCTTTTAAGGACTGAGATCTATTTGGACTTCATGCATGACACAGATAATGTCCTCTGATGAAGACTTTTCTACAGTACACACCGAACAGTAGGATTTTATGACAGAATTAAACTTAGAAACCAACCAACTCAAAAACAGGATGGGTTCACTTACTGTTGCTGCCTCTTCCAGGGCCTGCTTGTTTCCGCCAAGGGCTTTAAAAAGAACATCATATTTAGTTACCATGAGGTTTGAATGATGAGTTGTCTTTCCCAGTACTATCAATTATCTTTCTCAAACTGGCTCAGTGAATCCTTTGGTCTAGCACTGCCGTTCACAATCAGTCTCTCGGTTAGACTCCTCCTTGTTGTAGCTAGCTGCTCTACTTTCTATGTCCTCAAAGCTCCTGTTGTTTCCCAAGTGCAGCTGTCCCCATGTCAGAGCTTTTTTTTTTTTTTTTTCCCCTCTCTTTTCTTTTGTCCAGATGGGAGGTCCGGGGCAGGATCCCCATGTCAGAGCTTTGATACTTAGTATTTCTTCTGCTCAGTTCACTTCCCTACCCTACAAATTTCTATTTGTTCTTTAAAATTCAGCTCAAATGCCACACTCAAACTGCTAATGTTTCTATGATAATGACTGCTTCAAACTGTAAATACATACATAAATAGTATATAGCAAATTACTCAAAAGCTACTAAAGCTACTTAGGTGTCTATTCCTGCCTGAACTGAATTCCAGAGATAATATCTCTTGGTCCTGGTAAAAACCTGGCATAGTAAATGTGCAGACTAAAAAGGTCTTTGTAGAATGAAAACTTAGGTTAGCTCCTCTTGTTAGAAATCCTCATGGAATCCTGTGTATACAGTTAAGATCTTGGGCCTCATAAACAGAATGCCTGGGGTTCAAATAGACTCTGCCCGTAATATGAGAGCCTGAGTAAAGTATCTCTGTTCCTTATTTTGCCATTCTAAAATTGATCTACTGTCCGGCATGGTGGTGCACACCTTTAATCCCAGGACTGGGAGGCAGAGGTAGGTGGATCTCTGTGAGTTCAAGGCCACTTTGGTCTACCTAAGAGAAGTCCAGGATAGCCAGGGCCACAAAGGGACCCTGTCTCAAAAACAGAACTGGCTTACTATCATGGTTAACTTGTACTTACTGGCTACTACTCCTATCTTTTTTGTAGTATTTAAAACTCTAATTCTATATGAAAAACATTTTTTTAAGACAGGATTTCTCTGTGTAGCCTTGGCTGTCCTGGTATTCACTCTGTAGACCAGGCTGGCCCCGAACTCACAGAGATCTGCTGCCTCTGCCTCCCGAGTGCTGGGATTAAAGGCGTGAGTCACCATCACCCAGCTTCTATATGAGTTTTTAAATGACCCTTCTCCACTAGCCTATAAGCCTCTAGTGAGGGGACAATGCCTGTTTTACCCCTTACTGCATCTCTAGTACCTAGCATAGTGACTGACACTCAACTCTGGAGAAATGAATGAACACATGGATTAATAAGGCATGTCAGAAGAACCATGGCTCTTGTGAGTAACACATGCACTTCTACCCAGGAAGAAAGATACACACTGGTAGTTACTAGTGAGGAGGAAAACAGAGAAAGTAAAAGCCACCTAGTGGATGGGAGAGAAAGGAGCCTCCAGGTTGGACTGGAAGTTTAACAAGTGGTGGGAAATGGGTTGGGATTTTTCTCTGGTCAGAAAAACACTCCTGCCTTTGTAGTTCATAAGTGACTTGCTCATTTTTTTTTTTTTGTTTTTTGTTTTTTGTTTTTCGAGACAGGGTTTCTCTGTGTAGCTTTGTGCCTTTCCTGGGACTCACTTGGTAGCCCAGGCTGGCCTCAAACTCACAGAGATCCACCTGGCTCTGCCTCCCGAGTGGACTTGCTTATTTTTAAACTGGCGATTTCCACAACAAAGAGCTGTTTGAGGATACTGTTCTAATTCACCTCTGACAAAGCCAAATCATTCTTTTCTTAATTTATTCATTCATTTTTAAAAGTGAGTATACACAGTATTTCCTGATGTGTGAAAATGATGTGAAATTGACATTTCAGTGTGCCCAGAAATGAAATTCATCATGGCTCTTTTGGAACTATAACAGACATCCAGTTCCAGAAATCTAAAATGTTTGTTTCCTGGCCTATTAAAAGTATGCCTACCCAGGTGGATGACAGTCCCAGGTGAGACTGAGCAGTAGGGTGGATTTAGATCACAAATCCCTCTCTTTCTCCCCTAAATATGGATATGCCTCCTCAACTCTCTCCTTGGACAGAGAGATGACTAGAACGTGTGCTGTGCCGTGACCTTGCAATTCTCTCCCTCCTCTGTAAAGCCACAGGACAACTTTTTAGTCCTACCTAGTGCCCGCGACCTTGTCTATCGGCAGGCAGGCCAGCTTAGGCTTGGTCATGTCAGTGTGGAACACACTCTCCACACCCCTGAAAGCCTTCAAGAATCAGAAGCTTGCCGGGCGGTGGTGGCGCACGCCTTTAATCCCAGCACTCGGGAGGCAGAGCCAGGCGGATCTCTGTGAGTTCGAGGCCAGCCTGGACTACCAAGTGAGTCCCAGGAAAGGCGCAAAGCTACACAGAGAAACCCTGTCTCGAAAAACCAAAAAAAAAAAAAAAAAAAAAAAAAGAATCAGAAGATTGCTTTGTCCTCCGGACCTGAAGGTGCTCTCTTCCTTAAAGCCCCCATCAAGCTACCTACCTCTGGTATATGTCTGTTAGTGCTCTCCCATTCAGCTGTGAACGTGAGACGCGCTGGCCTAATCATGCTCATCTGAGGGGTAATTCATGCCAGCTTCCTTTCTATGGGCCTGCCATTCTTTCGTAAGTTATGACAGGCGGCAATTTCCCACGGGTGGGTTATGTTAGACCTCCTTAAGAACAAGTCCCTCCAACAAAGCTTTCAAGAAAAGCCCTAGTCGGCTACCGGAAAAAAAGCTAGCAGCTCTTACCAAAGTAGTCGAGCCAGTTCATCTCGCGCAGCGCCTTGGGGAGCCGAAGGATCTCGATGTTGTACAGGTTTTCCACCTCCTTGAGGAGGTTCTGTCTGTCGGACTCGATTTGCTTGGTTCGAATTTGCACTGCCAAGAGGGGAAAGCCGACGGATCCCGTGTCAACAAGGGTGCGACGCCGTCGCACCCGCGCCCCAACCCGCCCGACACTCGCGACCGCCGCGAATCCGCCCCTTACCCTCGCGGTCGAAGTCCTTCAGGAAGGAGGCGAGCTTGCGGTTCCGCAGCGCGTTGGTCTTGGTGCTGCGAGTGCGGCCCTTCCTGGGAGCCATGGCGCCGGGGTGTGGGCTGCGTCGAGCGAAGGACCGAGCAGCCGGGTCAGCGGGTGAGCGACCGCGGAGCCCCGGGAATTCAGTCGTTGGAGTCTAGGTACCCAGAAGTCTGCGGACGCGTACCTGCAGGCCCCGAAACACACAAGCAGGAAACCCTGCAGCTCCGGCTGAGGGGCAGGCTGCTCCGCCGCTAACCGCCACCCAATTCAAACTTAACGGGCACAGGATAGCCAATAACAAGTCGCCGTCTTAGGACGGTTCTCACAACGCCCAATCACGACAAAGCTTCTTCTCCAGCCCGCAACCAATCCTCATGAAGGACTTCAATGCCCAGAAGTCATTGCGGCCTACGTCTTCTTTTCGCGACTTCCGAGTCGAGCTAAGTGGAACCAGACTGTCGGGTTTGCTTTTGAGCGTGTGCGGACCGTGCCAAGCACGGTGAGCTTCTTGGTGTCTACTTAGATTTAACTACCCAGGATTTAAGTATTCCTGCTGGTTTAGGGACACGGCTGGCAATCTCAAAGAGAGCAGACAAAACTTTGGCTCCAGAAACACGAGTTCGAAGAGAGACAGGCCCCAGGAACTTGCAATCTAAAGCAGAAGATTGCCCTGTCCTGAAGAAACCTCTTCTGAAGACTTCCAGGACCCGCTTCCTGGGGTGAGAAGCAAGGGTCCTTCCGCAGAGAGAGCTGGTAAGAGGACCGCCGGAACCTCCACTCTTGAGTGTCAGCGGCGACAAGATAGACAGACAGCTTTACCCTGCCACCCTCAGCAGCGTGAGGAGTTCCCCTAAGCTTTAGGGACTTCAGCTCAGCTGGTGGCTTTGTCGTTGAAAATAATTCAGGACTAGCTAGTTTAAGCAGATTCACACACACACACACACACACACACACACACACACACACACACACACACAACATTGGCTGGCCTGGAACTCTCTGTGTAGACTAGGTTGCCTTGAACTCAAGAGATCTGCCTGTCTGTTGTCTCTTCAGCGCTAGGATTAAAGGTGCACACCACAATGCCCAGCCTAAAGCTATTTTTAATACAGGCTTAAGCACAAGGATTAAGAGAGAGGCCCCAGGCAGAAAATAAAAGACACTTTCAGGCCGGTCGGTGGTGGCGCACGCCTTTAATCCCAGCACTCGGGAGGCAGAGCCAGGCGGATCTTTGTGAGTTCGAGGCCAGCCTGGTCTACAGAGCGAGATCCAGGACAGGCACAAAGCTACACAGAGAAACCCTGTCTTGAAAAACCAAAAAAAAAAAAAAAAAAAAGACACTTTTAGGCTGCTCAAACAATCTCAGAAAGTAAGACATGGCCAAGTGGGAGAGTCAGCAATTGATTGTCTTAACATGAGGCATGTATACTATTTTGGTGGCTTTCAAGATACATCTCAAGAGGGTCTCTAAGCAAAACTTGTTACTCCTTTCTCTCGTTTCTTGTTTGATAAGAGATGTAAGTGAGGTGGCTTCTGAGATGCCTTGGATGGTATTATAGAAAGTGAAGCCAGGAGCGCCTGTGGTTGTACAAGGGCTGGTACATGTCCTTCCCATGTAAGTGGGATTTCTGGAGAGATTTCTAGAAGGTTGAAGGTTTACAGCTGGGAAGGAAGGAAGGCCTGAAGCAGCTGGTAAATTGTACTGTTGGAATTCTCACTTCGTTGCTGACCAAAGTCATCAACTTGCTTCCAGGATGAGGAGCCTGTTCTTTTTCATGTCCCCCAAAGTCTCCCTACCTTTCTATATTGCCTTAGGACTGTTTGAAGACCAAAGCTGGCCACCTCACGAGGTGAGAAATGACTCACCCTTGTCCCAGGCCCTCCCTTTCTGGTACCCTGACTCTTGGGTTTATCTTCTTCCCATCAGATGGCTCAAGACCAGCCTTTGCTGGCTGTGCAGGAGGTCCTGAGGAAGTGCTTCCCCGTGGTGGAGGAGCAGCAGGACCTGTGGCAAAGCACTGTGCAGGACTGCTCGCCCCTCCTCTCCTCTCTCAGCAACCTGGCTGAGCAGCTGCAGGCTGCACAGAATCTGCGGTTTGAGGATGTGCCGGCCCTTCGTCCCTTCCCGGACTTAGAGGAGCGGCTGAGGCGCAAGCAGCTGGAGGCTGGTGACATTGTCCTGGACAAGCTCGCTGAGAGGCTGTAAGAGGCTCCACGGCCCCCTTTCTTGATGGAAAGATCTTAAAGCTCCGTGACATCCCAGCCCCAGTCAGGGTGGGCAGACAAAAGTTACAAAAGCAAGCTGGGAGTGGTCATTCAGGGGACTAAGGTTGAAGGACTGTGAGTTTGAGGCCAGCTTGGGGTACATTTTAAGACCTTGTCTCAGAAAACAACAACAACAGCCAGGTGGTGGTGGCACACGCCTTTAATCCCAGGACTGGGGAGGCAGAGGCAGGCAGATCTCTGTGAGTTCAAGGCCAGCCTGGTCTACAGAACGAGTTCCAGGAGAGGCTCCAAAGCTACATAGAGAAATCCTGTCTCGAAAAAAATAACAACAACAACAACAAAATAACAGGTCGAGTGTGGTGGCCACATGTCTTTAATCTGAGCAGTCAGGAGGCAGAGGCAGGCAGATCTCTGAGGTCGAGGCCAGGACTCACAGAGAAACGCTGTCTCAAAAATAAATAAATAAAATAAAAATAAATGAATAAAATGAAAAAAAAATATAAATAACCCCAAACCAACTAAATAAACAAAAGCAGAAAAGAAGGGGACTGGAGAGAGGGTGGCCGCCTTCTGTCGTTGTGCCAGAACTGAGGCCATTACCGTACACACACCTCTGCTTAACCCTGTTCACACATCTGGAAGGGGACTGGAGAGAGGGTGGCCGCCTTCTGTCGTTGTGCCAGAACTGAGGCCATTACCGTACACACACCTCTGCTTAACCCTGTTCACACATCTGGAAGCAAGAAAACAGAAGGTCAGACCTTTGTTAAAGTTTGTTCTACACACAGGTGGATACATGTATGGCTGAAATAGCCTGCTAAGCAATAACCCAGGTGTTACATTGATACTTTGTTTTCTGTTTGTGTTTTTACTGTTGGTCACAGTCTATAAGCTAGACTCAGACTCATGGGATTGTTTCCTGTTTTTACACTGTAAGGCATAATCGGGCTTTTTAGAATCAGAGTTCTGGGCTAGGGGATCCTTTGTCCTTAGGAAGTTATAGCCTTTTTCTTGGTGATGGGTTCCTTATAGTCAGTGTTGGAGTAATAACTAGGCAGCAGGTAGCCCATACCTTTAGTCCCAGCACCCTGACTGGGGGTGGGGGGCGGGAGAAAAAGAAGATTACCTAAGCAATGCCAAAATCCCCCCCCTCACCCCACCCCCACCCCCGTGACACAGGGTTCTCTGTGTGTAACCACCACCGCCGCCGCCGCCACCACCAGTGCAGAAGTCCTTTCTACACATTGTCGTAGTTCTCTCTGTGATGACCATTCATTCACTGATACACTGACTGTGTTTGCTGTACATGTAGCCCTGAGCCTTTATGCACGGGGGAAGCAACTCGCTTTCCCTAGCAGTCCAGGCACCCTGAGCCCTCACTGTTGTCATTCAGAACTGTCCAAACAAGGGCAGTCAAGGTGGCTCATTGGGTGAAGGCACTTGCTATGCAAGCCTGATGACCTGAGTAGTTCAATCCCCAGAACCCATGGAAAGGTGGAAGGACAGAATGGACACCACAAAGTAGTCCCCTGACTTCCCCACATGTGCTGTGGCGTGTGTGCACCCTCCCCCATACTTAATTAAAAAGAATTTGCAAAGTGGGACTGGGGTGTAGCTCAATGGTAGACCACTCCCCTAGTGTGTCTGAGGGTGTGAGTGCCCTCTTAAAAACCTCCAAATGCCAGTAGTGGTTAGAGAAGCCTTACCTCCTCCCATTCCCATGATACTGCCTAACATTCCACTTTTCCCACAGAGCCACCCTCCTCAAGGTCCGCGACACCGTCAGCAGGCACGTGGAGCAGGTGTTTCAGACCTACGAGCAGCATTCGGCTGCGCTTGACATGGATGCTGTCCTGCGGCCCTCGGTTGTGAGCCCCTCTGTGGCCGACATGTTGGAGTGGTTGCAAGACATCGACAGACACTATCGAAGCTCATATCCTTGAGTGCGTCCAGACCGCCCAGAGCTGCTCCCAGAAGCCTTTGCTGACTCAGCTCTCACAAGATCAGCAGGCTGTATGGTTTGCTGCAGCTCTCTTCAGAGCTCAGCCATGGATTCTGCCTGCATCTGTTTTTATCGGCGTTGCTTACAGTTGCCTGCTGGGCACTGCTGTAGGTGCTGAGAGGCGGCGGGCGTGAGAAGAGGGGAATACATAGGGTCACCTGTGCTGAGTGCGAAGAGTCAAGCCGGGAAGGCGGGGAAGGAAGGTGGGGCTGTCTTTTTTTTTTTTTTTTTTTTTTTTTTTGAGACAGGGTTTCTCTGTGTAGCCCTGGCTGTCTTGTCCTCTGTCTCGAAGATCTGTCTGCCTCTGCCTACTGAGTGCCAGGATTAAAGATGTGTGCCACCACCACCCAGCTTGGAGTTGTGATTTTAATAGTGTCAAGGCAGGCACCCATGAGGCAGTGGTGGTTATGACCTTTGAGCAAAGATTTGAAAGAGTGAAGGAATGAGCCACGTGGATATTTGGGAGAAGAATGGTCCAGGCAGAGGGTACTTCGAGTGAAAAGGCCTGGGTGGGGGCATGCCTGGTGTATTTAGGAAGTAGCCAGGAGGTCCATGTGGTGAGGGCAGGGCATGGTGTCAGGGGGCCTTGGTTTTTTGAGAAGGATCTTGAAGATTTTGGCTGTTATTCTGAGATGAAAGTTCTGAGAAGTCTTTAAGCAGAATAGTGTGGCCAAGGCCTATGCTTAGCAGCATTCATGTAGAGGTCAGAGGATAACTTGACAGAATCAGTTCTCTCCTTCCGCCATGTGGCTCCCAGGATGAAGTTCAAGTCATCAGATTTGGCAGCAAGCACCTTTCCCAGTGAGCCATCTTGCCTGCCCCTGACATGGACTCTTAGTCCTGTATCCCCTCCTGACAGGCTTTCCTCTGTCTCCAGATGTCTGTCTCAGAGCTGTCTGTGGTGAAGGACCACAGACTGTCATCTCATATCTGGTTGTGTTCATCTGGGAGTTGTCAGCTCTTCCGTTGCTGGCCTAAGGCTCAGAATCCCGCCTTTCCTCCATTGCTACCTTTATTAGTCTGGCTGCAGCCATCTTTCAGCCATGTCAGGACTCGGGAGGCCTGTAGTGCTGAGTCTACTCCATGCTTCCTCTGCCTGTGCCTCTGTTTCTCCAGTGGTGTGTCTGGCTCAACTGCCACTGAGGTTTTTGTTTTGTTTTTGTTTTTGCTACATTTTAGTTTCTCTCCATAGCCCTGGCTGTCCTGGAACTGGCTATGTAGATCAGGCTGGCCTTGAACTCACAGAGGTCAGCCTGCCTCTGCCTCCTGAGTGCTGGGGTTAAAGGTGTGGGCCGATACAGCTGACTAGAACAGCCACAGGGTTCTGTCTCTTAAGTCACTTTGCTTTTCTGTCTGGTCCATCCTGAGCCTGTGAGGTCTGCGTCCTCTTTCCTGGTAGCATCATGTTGTGCTAGTACAGGTGCTCATCAGTCCTCTTGGCACGGGCGAGCCCTGCCTACCTGGGAAGGTGTACCAATGGCTGTGCTGCCACTTTTGGCTTCCCACACTTCTCTCCAGCAGATTGCCTTTTTCTCTTTTCTTTTTTCTTCTTTTCTTTTTTCCTTTTCTTTCCTGAGCAGTCCTTAACTTCTGGGAAGGTACCTGAAGAGAAAGTACCTGCTCTCCTCCATCCACTGGGGAGACTTGGCCAGCGTCCAAGCACTGCCTAAGGCCTGGGACCAGATTTCCGAAGATGAATGCCAGACCCTTGTGCCAGGTACTGGTTTCCATTAGTTCCCCATCTGCCTTCCTTTCCCTGCAGCTTGCCTCTTTGGAGGTGTTAGAGACACCGCTGCTGTGCTTCTGGGCCTCAGTAAACCTGATGTCTTGTACCCTGCTTCCTGTTCTAGATATCCTGGTGAGTGTCTCCTTCTTCCTGGAAGAGCCAGGAAGTTGCGCAGTGTCTGGAGATCTGGAGCCCCGCAGTTGAGGGCTGCTGTTGCTACCTCTGCTGTTTCTAAGTGCGCATCGGCAGTGCAGCCCGACGCCCTGAGATACCAGAACCTACTGTCGAGGTCCCTGGGGCTTCTCCACGCTGGGCCGTGGCCAAGGGTCCATGGCCGTTGCCCCTGCGGCTCTGGCAGGTGGATAGGGGCAGAGGAAACAGGAAAGGCAGCGCTGATGAGCAGTGTCCATCTCCGTCGTTAGGCTGGACTGGCAGGGAAGGAAAGGGTAGGAGGTAGAGGGCCACAGGCGCCTCTGCGTCAGCTGAAGTACTTCGTCCGGTTGGCTCAGGTCCTGGTTGTGTGTGTCAATATCTGAATCCTTAATGGTTTAAAGATATGAGTGGGTCTGGGAGTGCAGGGCAGTACCAGTGTGTATGTGGCACATGCGAAGCCTTGGATTCAATCCCTTGCACACCCTAAAAAGGGAGGGACTGAAGGAAAGAGCATTTGAAATGCTTCACAGTAGTTCAAAAAGCCAATTTCCATTTCCAAAATCAGCCACCAGGGGGAGATGGTGTAGCGTGAACGGTTCTGAATGTTTTGTCCTTGAGAGGTCCCCTGTTGCTGTTAAAAGTAACTGAGAGCCAGGAATAGCCCACTCACCACTGGAGAGGCAGACAGGTGATCTCCATGATTTTGAGATCACCCTGATCTACATAGCTCCAGACTAACCAAGGCTACATACTGAAACTGTCTCAAAAAAAAAAAAAAAAAAAAAAACCCCAAACAAACAAACAAAAAAAACCACCAAGGCCAAAGAAAAGAGGGAAAGAAATAAGTGAACTGAGAATAGCGAGACTCTCCAGCTGCCAGGGTTGAGACTCAGGTGACCTCTCATTGACTACATTCTTCTGAGTCTGGAGGGACTGGCCAGGTAGGAGACTATGCCAGCTGTGATTGTTAGTTTTGATTGTTCATTTGAAACATGTAAAGTCTCCTAGGAAGGGAAACTCAATGAGGAATGTTCTAGATTTGGCTGGCCTGCAGGCATGGCTGCAGGATTTTCTTCATTGAGGTGAGAAGAGCCATCCTGAATGTGGGTGGCATCGTTTCACGGCTGGGCCCTAGATCGAATGAGAGAGCGAGCAGGCTAACCACCAACAGGCACGCACTAATCCATTGCTCTTGATGGTGGGTGTCACGTGACCAGCTGCTTCAAGTGCCTGCCGCCTTGACTTCCCTGCGGTGATGGACTGTACCCTCAAATCATGATTCTAATAAACCCTTTCTCAGTTGTACTGGTCAGCGTGTATCATAGTGTTTTAGGTTCTCTAGAGGAGCAGAACTGATAGAATGAATGAATATATATCCAGAGAGATCCGGGCAAGAGTGAGGGCAGGCAAGCCGAAAGCAGAACTTTCTTCTTCCACCTGCTTTTATGTGGGCTGCCACCAGAAAGTGTGGTTCAGACTTGGGATGGGTCTTCTCACCTCAAATGATCCAGATTTAGGGTGAGTCTTCCTACCTTAATGATCTAGTTAAGAAAAGCCCTCACAGGCATGCCCAGCTGCTTGGGTTTTAGTTGATTCCAGCTGTGGTCAAGTTGACAGCCAAGATCAGCCATCACACACAGTAACAGGAAATAAGCTGAGAGGCAGCCTTGAGTCAGAGCCTCACTCAGCCTCTGCAGAGACTGCTTGCCTTGGGGTCCTGGTTTCCGACATGCTGCCATGCACAGGACTTAACGCAGAGGATGAATACATTTAAAAAGAACGTGACGTTGTTTTTCTTACTACATTTTTTGTTTTTAATTAAAGGGAAACTAGAAAAAAACTTAAACGACAGGAAAGTATAATGCAGACCCACCCTAGATATTCTGATCTGTGTCCCTTCACTATTCACAAATTTAAAAACAAAAACATTGATACAAACTTGTTCTTTTTACCTTTGTGGATAGTGGGACATCTGCAAATAAGCCAGCAAAACAGTACTGTATAGATGATCTGACATTTTGTGAATATATTACTTTTTTTTTTGTTCTTTATGCATGTTTGTGTCTATGCATGCGTGTTCATGTATGGGTGTGTATGTGCATGTATGTGTGTGTAGAGACCAGAGGATGACTAGGTGTCATCCCTGGGAACATCATCCTCCCCCTTTGAGACATGGTCTCTCATTGCCTTTGAACTTACCAACTAAATTATGTGTGCTGGCCAGTGAGCCAGGACCCTCCTCTGTCTCCCCAGGACTGGGATTACAAGCTTGCCACAATGCCTAATGATCTTCCTCAGCTCCTCAAATGCCAGGGCTACAGCTGGGTGCCACCATGCCCACCGTTAGTACTGAGTCTTACGCTGGGCCCTGGGCATAGAGGTGGAAGAAAGCTATAGGAAGTACTATCGTTGAGGCCTGGGGCCACCAGAGGGTATCAGATCCTCTGGGACCAGAATCACAGATGGTTCATCAGCCACCGTGTGAAATGAATGTGGGTCTTTAAGAGCAGCTGGCTGTCGACCACTGACCAACCTCTGCAGCCCCAGGCCAGACAGTTTTGAATCGGTGTTTCTCAAGCTTAAGTGTGCATATAAATGACAAGTATCTTGTTAAAATATAGACTCTCACCCTTTAGGTTCTGCTGAGGTCTCAGGTGATGTCAGTGCTGGTGGTCTAGGAGTTGTAGAGAACTGGATTCGGAGTATAGTAGAGTAACGGGAGGGTTACAGTTGAAGTCAAAAGCACTGTGGGAGGAAAGAGGCACTGTCGGCTGTGGGAACTGCTTGATGCTGACAGTGACATCTGAATTAGCCTTGGAGGGAATTGGACTTGGGCTGGATCAGGGAGAGGGGAGCAGGGCAGCCCAGGCCTTGGGACAGTCCAGGCAAAAGCAGCCTTGGCTTGAGGGTGGAGTTTGCTGCAAGTCTGTTGTGGGCCAGGCACCATGCTTGTTACATTTACTCCCAGGGCCTGGTATGTTAATAAGATTCAGAATATCAACTATGGAGTTTGTAGGACGGGAAAACAAGACCCCATCTGTGAGGTCAGCTTGGGCCAGATTGTGTAGAATCCTGACTTTTTGCTTAAGAGTTTGTATTTGGGGGCTAGAGAGAGAGTTGGCTTTCAGTATGTGCTGGCTGAACAAGCAGAGACCTGAGTGTTCTCAGCACTCATGGTAAAGCCAGGTGCAGTGAGATGTACTTATAATGAGAACTCTGGAAAGCCAGGACAGACTCTGGGGCTTGCTGGACAGTGAGCGGGCTCTGGGTTCATTGAGAGATCCTATCTCAAAAGCAAAGCAGGGCCGGGCGGTGGTGGCGCACGCCTTTAATCCCAGCACTCGGGAGGCAGAGCCAGGCGGATCTCTGTGAGTTTGAGGCCAGCCTGGTCTCCAAAGCGAGTTCCAGGAAAGGCGCAAAGCTACACAGAGAAACCCTGCCTCGAAAAAACCAAAAAAAAAAAAGCAAAGCAGGTGTAGACCAGAGAAGTAGACACTTGACTTCTCTCTCCGGCCTCCATGTGCATTTGCATACACACATGCACACGGGCTTGTGTTTTGTGCTAGAGATGGGAATTGTATTTTGTGCTAGAGATGGGAACTCTGTGTGTGTGTGTGTGTGTGTGCTATGTAACACTTCAGCCTTTGAAGGACCCTATTCTATCTATGAGGGTGGCCCCATAACGTAGTATTGCTAGTGACCTCCTAGGCATTTTGTTGAAATACACAACAGAATCACTAAAGTCCATCTCTCAGAATGTACCTGCTTTATTAAGTACCAGTTATAAATGTTTTATTTATCGTAATAAAGCTGTCTTTCTCCTTGAAACAGATATTTATAGTGTTTGGTAATTATTTAAATAGAATTGCTTTTGTTTTCTTCACTCTTAGATTTTCTATTAAAAATGCTGTCTCTCTCTCTCTCGCCGGGCGGTGGTGGCGCACGCCTTTAATCCCAGCACTCGGGAGGCAGAGCCAGGCGGATCTCTGTGAGTTCGAGGCCAGCCTGGTCTCCAAAGCGAATTCCAGGAAAGGCGCAAAGCTACACAGAGAAACCCTGTCTCGAAAAAAAACCAAAAAAAAAAAAAAAATGCTCGCTCTCTCTCTCTCTCTCTCTCTCTCTCTCTTTTGACTAAGAATGCATTTTAAGTTCCTGATGCCTGTGGAGGCCAGAGGAGGGCTTTAGATCTACTAGAACTAGGGTTATGGGTGGTTATAAACTGCCATGTGGGTGCTGGGAACTGAACTTGGGTCGTCTGCTAGAACAGCAAGTGTTCTAAACCACTGGGACAGCTCTCCAGCCCCTAAAATGCCAACCTTTTCATTATTATTTTAGACTTTAAATCTAAAAATAAATGTGATTTATTTATTGGGTAAGGTACACATCACCTGAAGTGTAAAAGGTGCACGGATATATCCAGAGAAAACTTCTCCTCCATCCGCCTCCTTCTCTTGATTGCAGACAGCCAACGCTAAATGCTTCTGGTGTCTCTGGTACAGTGGGTTTCTCCGAGGTGGCCCTGGTGACCCCACCTCTGATATTCGTGCCCTTTGGTGTGCCGCTCTGTAGTGCAGCTTCTAATAAGTGGAATAGTGAGAGTCACTTCTGGGAATAGATCATCAAGAAAACTGCTTCTGCCGGGCAGTGGTGGCGCGTGCCTTTAATCCCAGCACTCGGGAGGCAGAGCCAGGCCGAGTTCAAGGCCAGCCTGGTCTACAGAGTAAGTTCCAGGACAGGCAGGACTGTTTCACAGAGAAACCCTGTCTCAAAGGAAGAAAGGGCCGGGCAGTGGTGGCGCACGCCTTTAATCCCAGCACTCGGGAGGCAGAGGCAGGCGGATCTCTGTGAGTTCGAGGCCAGCCTGGTCTACAGAGCGAGATCCAGGAAAGGCGCAAAGCTACACAGAGAAACCCTGTCTCGAAAAACAAAAAAAAACAAAAAAAAGAAAGGAAGAAAGGAGAGAGAGAGAGAGAGAGAGAAAGAGAGAAAGAGAGAAAGAGAGAAAGAGAGAAAGAGAGAAAGAGAGAAAGAGAGAAAGAGAGAAAGAAAGAAAGAAAGAAAGAAAGAAAGAAAGAAAGAAAGAAAGAAAGAAAGAAAAAAAGAAAAAGGAAGAAAGGAAAGAAAAAGAAAACTGCTCCTCTCTTGGCTGCTGCCCCTTGCTCTGTCTTGTATCTCCCACCTTTGGGGAAGTCAGCTGAGACGCTGTGAGGTCACCCTGTAGAGACACTCAGAGGTCTCTGCTGGACAGTACCCTGTGAGGGAGCTTGGGAACATCCTCCCTCCACTGTTTCAGATGGGACCACATAAGGACCCGAGCTAAAAATGCCAGCAGAGCCGTGCTTGGATTGCTGGTACATGCAAACGGAAAAATTCTGTAAATCAGTAGGTTTCAGGGGGAGCTTTCCTCCCACAGCAGCAGATAGCTGACACAGGAAACAAATAGCAGTTTGGAGTTTGTTTTGTTTTTTTCCATTGTTTTAGTGACTATAGTGACAATACATATCCACTTTTTTTGGTGGGGAGTGTTTTGAGACAGGGTTTCTCCTGTAGTTTTGGTGCCTGTCCTGGCTCTTGCTCTGTAGACCAGGCTGGCCTCGAACTCAGTGATCCACCTGGCTCTGCCTCTCGAGTGCTGGGATTAAAGGCGTGTGCCACCACCACCCGGCCACATACCGGCATTTTATATCTATATTTCCACTGTACCTTGGAATTCTTTCTGTGTAAATATATAACTTCCTTAAAAATTTCAAAACAGAGTCTGGGAGATGGCTCAGCTGGTAAAGAGTGCCGCTGCACAGCATGAGGGTGTGCCTGAGATTGGATCCCCGGCACCCACACAAGAGCTAGGCATGGTGGCACACATCAGTTTAGTGAATTGGTAAGCTCCAGGGTCACAGTGAGACCCTGTCTCAAAAATCAAGGTGGGGGTCAATAGAGGACAGCAGATCTCTGGCCTCCTCAGGCACATGCATGGGCATGCATCCAAACATACATGCATAGAATGCCCTTACACAGTTCGATGTGTGGTGTTGCTACAATTTATTGCTTGCCTCTTACTGATGGACATTCAGGCTGTTCCCAAAGTCAGCTTTCTCTGAGCTTCCATGTTTATTCATTATGCTATGTTCCCCCATACTTTGGATGGGAAGCAATTGGGAATTAAAGCCATGGCCTGGTACATGCTAGGCCAGCACTCTGCCACTGAGCTACATCCCCAGTCCCCAATTTTTTATTTAACTAATCTTATGCCTTACCACAAAAACAAAAGTCTGTTAATATTTTTACTGGGATTATCAAATTTCAAGTAATTTAGGGAAAATCACTATATGGGAGCCCCAGTAAAGCTAGCTATTTAGGGGCACTGCTGGGTGATGGAGTGAGTTCTTTTCCATGTCTCTCCTTTGGTCACACACTACCCTGCCACTGTGAGCCATAGTCTGTTCCAGTAAAATAAAGTTGGCTTTCCTGTCCCTACTCCAACACATCCAGAAATTGGCCTGAAGATTCTTTCAGGGCTGGAGATGGCTCCGTGGGTAAAGTGCTCGCCGTCAAGTCTGAGGACCTGAGTTCTCATCCCCAGCTGGGCAGGCACATCTATATCCCCATCCCTGGGAGGTGGAAACAGGAGGACCCTGGACTTACGGTGGCCAGGCAATCTAGAGCCAATCACTGAACTCCAGATTCAGTAAGAGACTCTGTCTCAAAACTTAAAGTAAAAGGCCGGGCAGTGGTGGCGCACACCTTTTATCCCAGCACTTGGGAGGCAGAGGCAGGCGGATCTCTGTGAGTTCAAGGCCAGCCTGGTCTACAGATCTAGTTCTAGTACAACCAAGGCTACACAGAGAAACCATGTCTAGAAAAACAAAACAAAATAAACTTAATGGAGCCAGGTGTGGTAGTATATGCCTTTAATCTTTAATCCCAACACTCCAGAGGCAGAGGCTGGAGGATCTCTCTGAGTTCGAGGCCAGTCTGCTTTACAAACTGAGTTTTCCAGGGCTACATAAAGAGACCCTGACTCAAACAAACAAGACAAAATCTTAAGAGTGGAGAGCGACCTCTGGACTTCACCTGCGCATACATACACCATGTAAACACACATACCTCCTAATACTTTACCTCACATACACACAAAGATCCTTTCGTGGCTGGAGATGTGGCTCAGAGGTAAAGAGTTTTCTAGCATGTGAGACTCATCCCTGACACTGAAAGACAAGGAAAACGATTCTGCTCTCAGACAAAGTAAGTGTTGTCCCAAGCCTGGGCTCTCGGAGAAGTTCTGCCTGCCTGGGGGGAGTTGAGGCTTCATGATGACTGCTGTGCCTGACATCCATCGAGAGGAAGCCAGGTACTTTCCCAACCAGCCCTGTGAGGAGGGGGATTGCCACACATTTGACGGAGCAGCTTTGTCTAGGAAGGTCACAACGTGTACTGCACAGCCTGTCACCTAGCCCTATGGTCAATGCTTAGCACAACCTCTAGCTAGCCATGAGGTCTTGTCCAGTGATTCCCCCTGGCTGAGTCTCAGTTGCCCCATTTGCATAATGGAGAGGATGCTGTGTCCTTATGGGGTCATAAGGTTCATGAAAGAAAAGGATATGTAGCCGGGTGGTAGTGGTACATAACTTTAATCCCAGCACTTGGGAGGAAGAGGCAGGCGGATCTCTGAGCTCAGGGCCTGGTCTATAGAGTGAGTACACAGAACAGCCAAAGCTGTTAGGAAGAGAAAGCCTGTCTCGAAAAACAAAACAAAACGAAAAAAGAAAACAAAGGCTCTGTGACAGATTTGGGGGTAGTTGTCAACACTTGCCCTTGAGATTCATGACCTGCTCATCAAAAAGTTCCACTATGCTCTTTGTTTTTGTTTTGAGACAGGCTTCCTCTGTGTAGCCCTAGCTGTCCTGGAACTAGCTCTGTAGACCAGGTGCCTTGAATTCACAAAGATTGTCCTGAGTACTGGGATTAAAGGTGTGTGCCATGATGCCCAGCTTGCTATGTACTTTAACATCACCCGGTTTTGATCTTGAGACAAGATCTCCCTCTATAGCCCAGCCTGCCTTTAAACTCATTACAATCCCCTTGCTGGGATTTACAGATTGCACTGCCACATACGATTTATTTTACATTTAAAAATATCTTTCAAGCTATTGCAAGCATTGACAAAGGTATGCTTGTCTCCATTGGACAGATGAAGAGGCTGAGCTGTGGAGACAGTTTCCTAAGTCCCCACTGGTGGCCAGGGACACGGCAGCATTTACACAGGATCTTGGCTCTGGTGAAAGGGCCTTTCCTACAGTCCATTGTCCCTTTTCTTTCACAGAGAGAGCATACCTAACGCCTATTCTCTGAGTGCCCTGCCCTGTGCAGAGCCAACAGGACAGACCTGGCAACAGCAATGGAGTGTCCTGACCCCTTCCAGGATGACTCAAACCTTGCCAGCTGCCCTCCCTTCTGATTCCGTAGCCAAAAGGGTTGGAGTGGGTCCCAAAGCTGTCTGCCAGAGCCTTATATTTTGCCCTTCATGCCAGAGTCTGAGAAGGGAATGCCAGTTATTCTTAAAGAACAACGGGATGACCCTTCCAGGCACTCACCCTCCTCTCCATCATTCCTGGAAGGCTCCTGAGTTTCTGCAAAGGGCAGCAGAAAGTAGTTTTCCTGAGCCTGGTGGAGTGAACTAGAGCCACAATGCCAGAGGCCTGGACCCACATGGTGGGGAGGGGCTTGCTCTGTGCATTCGTACAGTAACCCTCATCCTGTTGTATAGCCCCCCATCCCCACCCCCAATCTGAGACATGGTCTCACTATGTAGTTCTGGCTAGCCTAGAACTCAAT